GCCCACACGGCAGAGTCTGGCAAACTCCCCGTGGCGTACCCAATATGCCAAATACCAGTAACGATGATGGGTCTCATTCTCCTAACTCTGAAAGAGCCTTGAATGTGGCACTTTTTAAAAAAGTCTCAGGGCTAGGACGAAGGAGACGTTACTGGGGCCTGCTCGAGGCAATCGACGAACAACAGGATGGTCGTGATCGTGATCTTTACTTACCTTCCCCTTCTTTCTTTCCTTCCCAATAAATTTCCTACTTAGGCACCTGGTTGATGAAGTTATTCATGGTCAAGTTTCTTAGCTTGCATGGAGTAGGGTTTAATTCTGAGTCCCAAAGAAGTTAGCACACGGGCCATGTGCGTGTGGGGAGCAGGGTGACGAGTCTCTAGAGCTAGTCTACAGGAGAGTGAGGAGAGATCTCTGCAGAGACTGCAGTGTGGGGAGCAAAGTGGAAAGTAGCTGAAGCTCCCCTGGAAATTCAAGGGTCACGACTTCCTGCTGGATCTGGGGGGGGTCACACCCTGATGGGGTCCCAAGCAGAGTGGGGTCAAGGATTACTTAACCTGCTTAACCCAGCTCCCCAGCTCCCTTCACCTCAGCTGCGGAGGGCGTCTGGTGACACAGTGCAGTGGGTGCTCTGCAGCTGAGTGCTCATTCTTAATAAGCTATTTGTCTTGCCCGTTCCCCACCCTTGTGAGTGGGAGTAGGAGCCTCTGAACAGTCCCTGCCTGGCAGAAGATGCAGGTGGCGGGTACTGCCGAGGAGGCAGTGAGGAGCTCGCCTGGTGCCCACGTGAGGCTTGGGACCTGTCCAGATGGGATGTCCAAGAGGGAGCAGTGCTCAGGGCACCTCCATCACCTGGCACCGTGTGTGTGCGCGCTTACCTGGGGCTCAGAAATAGACCTGCACAGCCCCGAGCTCACAGATACGTCGCTGGCAGTGGAAGCTCCTTCAGGAGCTGGTGGAACGGAGGTGGAAGCCTTACCGTGCCGGCTTCCTCGCAGCTGACCCTCACCCTTTCATCAGTTTGCAGGTATAAAAGGGTCACATGGTTTACATAAATCTTGTCATGTTTCTACTTTTATTTTTTTCCCTGGCTTTTGGGCCACACCCAGCAGTGCTCAGAGGTTACTCCTGGCTCTGGCTGTGCCCAGGGATCACTCCTGGAGTTCTGGGGATTAAACCTGGGTCGGCCGTGTGTGAAGCAAACACCCAACCAGCCCCGTTTCTACTTCTGATGAATAAAACATACAAGAACAACTTAAGAAATCATTCTCAAGTGTTTAATTAAAATTCATATAGCATTTCACAGGGATATTTAAATTTCCACTGACTTATACTTTAAAATCCTTTTGCACAACATTTTGAGGTTAACTACATGCTAAAAATCTACAAATGTACAACACAAAAATACATTTGGAGTCCATTCCAATGCAAGTTTAAAACACTTTAATTGCAGACAATGTAAAGATATTTAAAAACCAAAAACTACAAAACGAGCACATAAAAGTTTTCCCTTTTGAATATTTAATAAAATACTGCTCTGTATAAGACCTAATGAAAAATTCCAGTTACTTATAAAATAGTTATGTGAGAAAAAAATGAAAATATGTAGGTATGAAACACACCTATATTATCTAAACAAGCAAAATGTTGAATACTTTGATGGTACCTCAAATCAAGACAGGTGAAAACACTCAGGAGCAACTGCTTGCTGGCAAAAGCATATGGGGGCGGGGGGGGGGGGGCGGGCAGTTCAATAGCGCGGAGCTCAGTATTGAGTCTTAACAAGAGACTAGCTGACAGCCCCTCTCGCTGGAAGGGAAGACGAGGATGGGGCCACTTTGGATTCCTCATCCCTCCTGCTTCAGGAGCAGGGAGGAGAATTTGGCTACCAATGACAGAAACACCCCAAAGAAATTACTTGGGGTAGTTTGGTCAATAATAAAGCAACTGCTGAAACAATATAGTAACAAATGGGGGAAAAAGGACCATTTTTTGAGGTTTAACAATGTAAAACTTTGGAAACCAGAGTCCCAGTCACCAACTGTAGGAGAGATGGCGGGACAGACTGACTGAGCGAGGCACTATCTGCACACACGTACACACAGCAAACACACAGACATTGCAAACACACACGCACAGCAAACACACACTGCATACACACATGCATTGCAAACACACGCACATCACACACACACAGCAAACACATACACAGCAGACACATGCATATTGCAAACATACAGCAAACACACAAACATTGCAAACACGCATAGCAAACACATGCACACACAGCAAACACACACAGCAAAACATGCACACACAGCAAACACACAGCAAACACGCACAGAGCAAACACACCCAGCAAACACACACACAGCAAACACAGACACATAGCAAATAAAAGCGCAGCAAACACACACACAGCAAATATATAGCAAACACACATGTACACACAGCAAACACACACACAGCAAACACACGCACAACAAACACATGTACACACATACAGAAACCATGCACACACACAGAGCAAACACAAACACACACACATACACATACACAAGCAGGAGAGTGCTGACAGTCTTAGCTGCAAACCCTTAGTTGAATCCTGCTCTTCCCTTACCAAGAAGGCTCCTGCTGTGTGAGTCTGAACTCAGAGCAGCCTGGACCTTACGCACCAGTGCAGCCTGGAGCATGTGCCCTGGGGACGCCTTCTCCTGACCTGGATGGAGAAACGTCCCAGGAGAAGTCGGTTTCACCAACAGACAGAACGGACGCAAGGGTGCTGCTGTGGCCTGGGGCTCCTTGCGGGCAGGCTTTGGGATGGCACACGATGATGGTCAATGCCATTCTCCTGATCAGTTGCAGTTCCGCACAGTAAAAACACAAGCTGGAAGCTGGGGAACCAATAAGCCAAATAGCCCGCAAGTTCCAACAGCTGGTCCAGGGGTGCTTGGACAATGGCTATGCAGGCTGGACCTTCAAAGGTGATCTGGGCATTTCCTGCCACACCAGGTAAACCCAGACAATCCTGGAACAATGTATGATTCGCAGAACAGTGGATTCAAGAGGAAGCAGACCCTGCAGGTGTGTCTCCTTGACCTGGAGCTTCAATACTGAGTTCTGCGCTACTGAACTGTCCTTGTGCTCCCATGCCCTTCCTCTGGGCCGCTTCTCCCCGACACCAGGAGGGACAAGCCAGTCCCAACAAGAGAAAAGGGAATCCATCACAGAAACGCTGCCTCCAGACGCCTATCCCTGCCGCCGTGCGGGGACAGCCAGCTCGCTCTGTTTGTTCTAAAACAGCTACTCAGCCCTCTGAAGAGCAGCAAAGTCCCCAGTTGGAGCCAAATCGTACCTACAGGGGCGACTCCTCTGTGAAACTGAGTGTCAAGATTTCAAACACTAGCCTCCATGATATTTATTCAATGAATCTAGCCGACGTGCCAAACAATAACCTTCAGAAGAAACTATAAAGTGGACTGACGAGCTCGGCAAGATCAATCTTCGAAATTCATTCAGTGTGCCCAGAAAACAAGAGGGAAAAGCAAACATGCCCAAGCAGGAGATTTGGAAAGGCTCCTTTAGTGAGCAGGTTCACAGATGCAGGCGCCTGAGTTCTGTGGGCTGGGAGCAGGCTGGGGAACCCGACAGGGCCGGTGCTGTGTCTCCCCGCCTCCACGGGGCTGTTTCCGAGTGTCCCAGGGTCCCACTTTCTCAGACACACATCCTGCACGTGGTGTGGCAGACGGGGCCCTTGAGGCAGTAGCAGAATGAAGCTCTCGGACCCCCTGCAGGGTGGGTGGCCAGCGGCTAGGACACAGGACACTTGCTTGCATCGTCCCAATGCTGGACACCCCAGGCATTCTGCAGACTGGGGTGTCGACACGCGCCCAGAGAAGGAGCAGAAAATGGCACAAGTGTCAGAGCAGTGACAGGTGACGGGAAGCTTACGTGTCAGGAAGGAGAGGCACCGCTGAGCGACAAATACCCTACGAGCACAGACAGAGACTTGCAGAAGGAACCCACTGCTGAGGGGCACGATTGAGAATTGGTGACTTTAAGACTCACAGTCGGGCTTTCAATGAGCTAAACACAGTGAGAGAACAAGCAGCTTCATAAAAAGAGGAACGGTTCCTACGCTGTAGAAAGATAACTTCTTTAAAAATATATACCTATCACAAAAAAAAAAAAAAACAACAAAAAAACCAGGAGATAAATATATATGTATGTATAAAAACTCAGGCCCTGATACCTTCAAGGAATTTTCACCAATTCTAAAGTGATTTCAACTGCCACAGCACGAACTCCACGCACCCACACACGACACACAGCTTAAAGGCGGCGGGAGGGTGAGCCATGGCCCGGAGCACAGGCACCCGAGCAGCCGACGTGACATGCGACAAGAACAGTTCACCATCTGTAACAACATGATTCAGACTCGATACTTATCCGAAGAGCTACTGGAGATCAGTGGCCGTACCCTGTAAATTCGGAAGCTTCATTGTTTCAGAAATGACTAACGCTAGTTCCGGAGTGAGCAGAGAAGCTGCTCGAGCCCGGACCGCCCATCTGGTTCTGAGCGGCCAGAGGAGAGACGCTTTCTCAGAGACAAAACTCAGAGGAAAGCCAGACAACGGTGCCGCCACCGTCCGACTGTGGGTCCAAGGCCCCTCGAGATGGGGGCACAGCGGCTGGACACACGGAAACGACACAGTCCCCACACAACGCTGCTACCGTGGCAAAGAGCATCCACTGTCAGTGACGGACACCGCAGGCTCGGTTCTCTCACGCTCTGCGTCGTTGTCCCTCATTATGCAACAGGACTCATAACGCAGGGGGCGGGGGGCTGCGAAGGGGGGGCCACGGTCGCACCCCCTGGCCAGCATGCTTGGCCAGCACTTTTTCTGCAGCATGGGGGTTAGCTGGCTCTCCCCTCTCCCACCTTTTTACAGCTTAGTTGAGGTATGATTGATAGAAGCCAAGCTGCACGTGTCCAAGATGTGCAACTCGATTTGCAATCTTTTAAACAGCATGAAAAGGGCCTGAAAACAAGATTATGTACAACTGAAATGGTTAAAAACAGCACATTTTGAGTTTCACGAGACAGGGATGGGATTATGAACAGGAGGGTGGAAGAGGAGAGAAACTATGTCATTCCAGGTACCAAATTTATTCAGAAGGTTTGGAAATGCCAAAATTGACAGCCAGCTTTCTTGATTTCCTCCTGGACGAGCTGGCTGGTGCTTTCCGGAGGGGGGCGCCCTGGCCCTGGGCGGGACTGTCTGAGGGGCCCGCGGGGGTGGGCTGCAGTTTGGGTGATGGCTTGCCAGGCGCGGCCGGGGGTGCGGGCTGGCTGGTCTGAGGGGCGGTGGCTGGGGAACTCTGGGTCTCCTTATTCTCAAAGTTCTTTTTGCTTGCAACCCGCTTTTTAGTGACCTTTAAGGAATAAAAGCGTCATTCATTACCAATAAACACCCCAAAAGCTAAGGTCTGAAAACACCATCAAGCGTGCTGCTACTCTGCGAACTGGCGCCTCCTTATAACATCCAAACCCGACTTTTAGGAAAATCAGGAAATACAGTTGTAAAATGTGCAAAAACTCTCCCCAACCTAAGCAGAAAAATACTTCTATTTTTGCTGTCAAGGCCCTCTGCTATCCAGGCACCAGGAAAGCGGCTCCCGGCTGGGGCACAGGCCTGGCGTGTGCCACACCTGCCTCCCGGTGCCAGCATGTGGGAACCGCACTGCAGGGGACAGGCATGCGGGGAACCGCACTGAAGGGGACAGGCATGTGGGGAATCGCACTGAAGGGGAGCCCCCCTGCCCCCTGGAAATGGCCAGCACTACCCACAGAAAGTATTAGGATTGTCATTTTCACCAAAACGACCATCTCCAGCGATGATTAGCAGAACACAAACCTCCCTCCCGGGAAGCAGGTGGTCCTGGAGAAAGCAGAGTCTGCCCTGAGGGCTGGCACAAGGAGAACGGGCCTGCCCGGCACTCACCTGCAGGGGTATGAACTGGTGGTGCACCCCAGCGGGTGGCCCGGCAAAGGCGCTGTGGTGGAAGGCCTTCCCGGGTGCCGGCGCGCCCCACGGCAGGGAGCTGGGCAGGTGGGCAGGCGGCGGCGGCATGATGGAGGCTGCGGGAACCCATAGGAAAGTGCTCTGAGGCGCTGGCAGAGCTGGGAGACGCACGACCTTGCCCTAACTCCCCTTCCCAGGGGCCCGCCCTCCCCCTCCCCCCACACCGTGGGCCACGAGAGGTGCGAGGGCTTACCTGGTCCCAGGGCGAGGCTGCTTCCGTAGTGCTCCCAGCCTACAAAACCAGACAGACTCCAGTCGGGAAATCTGCACTGCGCAGGACACGCAGCACCTTTTTTTCTACCCCACCATATTGACAGTTCAGGGATGTGCTCTGGGGCGGGCACCTGGCAGTGCTGAGAGGTCACTCCTCAGGGGCAGGTGCAGGGGCCAGATGGGAGGCCAGGAACCAAATCTTTCGGGCTGCCTCCAAGGCAAGGCCCTCCCTGCTGCGCTGCCGCAGGGACCGGCATTTCTCAGATGTCTGATTTGCTTCTGATGAGCGCAGTGGCCCGGGCGTCCCACCCTGGGTCCGTGGGTCTGCGTGACCGTGAGGTCCACCTGGCAGGGCTCACAGCCCTGGGGACCCTTGCACTGAGCAGTTCCACTCTCACCCGCTGCCCCAGCAGGTGGAGAACTATGGTTGAAGCTGGCAGGTCCCTTGAACACCTCTTGGGGAGCTCCAGAAAAAAGGGGGGAGTGGGAGACCCTAATAAAGAGTCGATCTGGTTGATGAAGCATCATCAGCCTTTCCAGCAACGACAGCGAGGGCCACACTTGTGCGGGTTCAGGAGTCAGACCGTGGGGAGGGTGTTAGTTTGCCTTGCACGCAGCTGACCCGAGTTCAATCCCTGGCATCCCATATGCCTCCCTGAGCACCACCAGGAGTGATTACTGAGTGCAGAGCCAGGAATACCCAGAAATCTGACCCCAGAAACCCCAGAACAACAACAACAAGAATAATTTTCTGGACTTGAAACAACTCATTGCACTCACGACCAGGGTGTGAAGACGCTTACTCTACCAGGTAGAAGGCTGAGACCTAGGTGGTAAAGGTGGTAACTGTCCACGGAACTGCGCACTGAATCAATAAGTGCAGAATGTCCACTGACAACGGGCTGCTAGAGCACGTGGTATGGAATAAAGAGGCAGGCGGAGTCCTAGAGAAGTTTTCGGACAGAAGATGGCCGAGAGCCCGGATGGTCGAGAGCCGGGACCCCTCCCCCGCTTCCTGTACATTCCCCTGTGGATAACTCAGGAGCAACCTCCGGAGCAGAAGGTTCTCAGAGAAAAGACGAAGGACCCCACAAGTCTTCCTTAGGGCAGATCTTTTTAGGGGGGAGGTGCTCAGGGTTACTTCTGGCTCTTTCTCAGGGATTACTCCTGGAAGTGCTCAGGGGACCCGATGGGGTGCTGGGGATCAGACCCAGTTGGCCATGTGAAAGACAGCGCCCTTCCCGCTGACCATCGACCTGGAACGACTCTACCTGGCCTCCCTGCCCTTACGTCCTCGAGTCGAATTTCAACCCCAATCACCTGCTGGCGGCAGTGGCAGGCACCCCCGACCACCACTGCCTCGCTGCCCTGGAGGTGGTTGCTGCCCTTTCGAGAAGAGGCTGCAGTCCACTTCTTACAATTCCTTCTTTCATTCCCTCACATGTGATTATTTTTGGCACCCTCAAGATGATGCTTCCTTTGAAGAACTTTGTCTTCTGGGGGGCCCCACCTGGCAGTGCTCAGGGCTCACTCCTGGCCCTGCACTCAGGGGACCACAGGGGACACCGGGAATGGAATCTGGTTAGCCGCATAAAAGCAAACACTCGGCTGTACGAACTCTCCATCCCTGCCCAACACTGAGCAGAGCCAGCGGTCTTACCGGTCGGCTGGGGGTAAATCGGAGGGATGGCTCCGGGCGGGACGGCAGCGGGGTAGGTGGGTGGAGGAAACATGGGCGGTGGCAAAGGGAAGTTCATTCCGAAGGTGCCCTGCGGAGGAGCGAGGCGTGGTGAGGCCCGGCAAAAACGCCCGGGACAGCCACGCGGGAGGGGGCAGGCCGTCCTCACCAGCTGCTGGAGGGCCGAGAATGCGGCCCTCTCCTGGGCCTCGCTCTCCGAGGGACACTGGGGGCCCTGCACCAGCAGGCCGTTGGACAGTTTGACTTGGCAAATCGTCATCGTCTGCAACACAGAAAGGGCATCTGGGAATCGCCGCCCGCACTCCCAGGCCAGTGTGGGCACACGGAGCAGGAGAGTGGCCAGTGCCCACCCACGCCCGCGCCACAGGCCTGCAGGAGCTGGCCCGGCCTCTGCCCGCGGTGAAGGAGCGCCTACGGCAGTGCTTAGAGATGAGTTGCCTGGGGTGCGTGTGGTCCTCGTGAGACTCGGGCATGGGCGGGGCCGGTGTGCGAGTTCTGTGCCTGGAGCTCCAGTCAGGATGACTGGGAAAGACACGGGGCCTTCAGAGAGTGACTGCACAGGAGTCGGGGACACCCTGGAGACACCCACCAGTCTTGGGGTCTGAGGGTCTCCCTGTCTCACTGAAGAACTGCCAACTGCGAAAGCTTTTCATAAAGGGTTAACCGCTGAAATCAAAACGATTCCACGATTCTGGCCATCTATTCACATTTGACAGTGCCTGACATCGGCTTGTCTTTGTATCCTGGCAATGTTTCTTAGAGGCCCCTGAACCTCCCACAGCGCGTCTGTCCCCGATCCCCGGGCACATGGCAGACGGGGTGCGGCCCCAAGCACACAGCCCAGCCCCAGCCAAGCGGGACCTGTTGAGAACCACAGCCCTGGGACGGGTGCACCACAGCCCCCAGCTGGCACCTGCAGTTCCCCAGCACCGCACACCCCGGCCGGCACCTGGTCCCACAGCACTGCAGACTCCGACCAGCACCTGCAGTTCACTGGCCAGCACCTGCAGTTCCCCAGCACCGCAGACTCCGACCAGCACTTGCAGTACCCTGGCCAGCACCTGTAGTTCCCCAGCACCGCAGACCCCGGCCTGGCCAGCACCTGCAGTTCCCCAGCACCACTGACCCCTAAAGACGTGTGTGTACAAGCCCTGAGCACTACACCGTGAGCACAGGAGGGAAAGGGGAGGAGGAGGGAATGGCAGCAAGTGCGATCTCTGACGTCCCGCAAAGAAAACCACTTTGAGGCTGGACAGTACAGTGGGAAAGCTGCTGGCTTTGCACGGGGCCAACCTGGGTTCGTTCCCTGGCATCCCTGATGGCCCCCTGAGCACTGCCGGGAAAAGTCAGCCTTTGTTGGGGCAGGAATGTGGCCCATGGGGCAGCGTGCGTGCGTGTCTGCCCCACGACAAACAACCAGGAGGAAGAAGCTGGAGGTACCTCCAGCCCCGCCCGCCGGCCCCCCTCCCCCCCCGCCAACCCCCCCCAGCCGCCCCCCAGCCTTCACACACACCTGTGGTGTCCGCAGGAAGGAGAAATCGGGCTGCGGCACGCCGACGAGGGAGCAGAGCCGGCAGAGCTCGGTGACGGAGCTGGGCACAGGCGGGAGCTGGCTGGGCGCGGGCCAGCAGACGTTCTCCACGGGCAGGACGTGCCGGTACTCAGCGCCGGGGCCGCTGTCAGCATGAGAGGCTGCGGAGACCCAGAGGACAGAGCTCTGTCAGGGGCCAGCCGGACACCACTCCAAGGACAGGTGAAGTGGCAGGAGGCCGCTCAGTGCTGCCCAAGCCCTGCTGAGAACTCAGCCACTCTAGGTCACCGCGACACATGAGGAACGTAACAGATTTAAGCTACAGGAAGCAGCTGGCTGCCCAAACTACCATCCTGACGTATTAATGAATATGTGTTTTTTTTTCCCCTTTTTTCTTTTTCCCCCCTTTTCGGGTCACACCCGGCAATGCTCAGGAGTTACTCCTGGCTCTGCACTCAGGAATCACTCCTGGTGGTGCTCGGGGAACCCTATGGGATGCTGGGGATCGAACCTGGGTTGGCCGCGTGCAAGGCAAACGCCCTCCCCGCTGTGCTATCGCTCCAGTTCCACAAATATGTGTTGTTGACAGGGAACTTACACCCCTGACGTCTTTGTTCTTGGGGCCACACCCAGCGGCCCTCTGCAGCAGCTCTCTGCTCAGGGATCTCTCCTGGCGGCCTTAGGAGACCTTCTGGGATGCAAGGAGATTGAATCTGCACCAACTGCACTCAAGGTACGCGCCCTCCCTGCTACGGCGGTCCTCTGCACCGACACGGAAGCTTCCTGTAAGGTTTTGGGTCACACCGGCCGATGCTCAGGGCTTCCTCCTGGCTGGGCACTCAGGAGGGACTCCTGGCCAGGGGAACTCAGGGCGGGCCCATGCAAGGCAAGCACTCTGCCTGCTGTCCCAGCGCTCCGGGCCCACCACTGAGATATTTCAGTGCTTTCCGGGAGCTGACTGAGCGTCATGGTTAAATTTTGAGGCTCTGGTTTCAGCTCATTTTTCCAAAATGCCATCTTACACCCTGAGACTCATGGACGAATCCTTCCCTGATGCAAAGCAATGCTCTTAAAGGGCTTCCTGGAACTGAGGTGTCTAGCGCTGCTGGTGGCAGGGCCCAGGCACAGTCAGGGCCCAGGACAGGCAGGGTCACTGCTGCAGCACCACAAAGGGGCCTCTGCCGGGGCTGCTGGACGTCTGTTGCGGCAGCCCGGGAGACACGGGCAGAGCTTGGCGCCACCCTGGACAGCCACAACCTGAGCTTCTGGCGCCCGGGCGCCAAAGGTTTCCAACACACAAAAACAGTTACTTGGTTTTGAAGCAGAAAGCATCTTTCCTGTTCTGTAGTGGAAACACCAGTGGAGCTCAGAGCTCAGTACTCTGGGGTGCTCGGGCCAGTGACGGGACCACCCCAGGCTTCTAGGAGAGCACAGGTGCGCCTCTGTCCTCTGAGCCAGATCAAGCCTGGAAGCATCTTTCACTTTACGGTAAACGCGAATTTTGTTCAAAAGCAGGCCTGTCACCGGTGACGGTTTCCTAGATTACTGTTACCTCAGTCATCTAGTCCGACTTTTATCAGCACGTAAGGGCTCCCACCTGAAACTGAGCTAGGTTGACTCAATGGACCGTAATCTACTTCTCTCGAAACCATGATGCCCTTCAGAGAAGCTTCAGTCCTTATGGATTCTGGGCTCGTCACTTTACGTGGCAGGTGTTTTTCAGATAGAAACACTAAGGTCTGAAAAAACACTAAGGAGGAATATGTGGACTCTTTCACTTGATTTTCTAGCTTGTTCTATTTTGGGTCACAACCCAGCGATGCTCAGAGGTTACTCCTGGCTCTACACTCAGGAATTACTCCCGGAGGTGCTCGGGGGACCATATGGAATGCCGGGGATTGAGCCCGGGTCTGCAGCGTGCAAATGAAATGCCCTCCCTTCAGTACTATAAGTCACCGGATTATTTTTAAATTACAGGTGGGAAAAAAAAAGCTAGAATGTGAAAAGTCTTTCCTGGCTTGGGATCCACCGGGTGAGAATACTTATTGCTTATTGGAAACAGCACAATTTAGTCACAAGCACACAGCCACGGACAGCAGATGGGGAACTACGGGTGTGTGTGTGTGGGGGGCTGTGGAAGGGGGAGTGTCATGAGATTGACACGGGCATCAAAATCGCACTCTTTTCTCTTACTCTTGATTTGTCTCTTTTAAAAAGATCAGCTTCACAGGTAAAGAAACCTCCGCTGGAGAGTGGCTGGCCTGGAGCCTGAGCGGCGATGGGCGTGTTTGTCCACTTCACTTACTCGGTTTTTTGCCTTGTTTGGCCTGGGAGGAGGGTCCCCGCTCCCCTCTGTTGCTCGTGGAGACGGAGGCTTCGTTTCCAAACTGCTTCGTTTCGTTCCTATGGTCTGCGAGGCCAGAGCTGTCTATTTTCAGAATTTCCTTGAGCATCCGTGTTCCCTTCTGGTGGACACAGAGAGCATGCGGGGAAGAGGGAGAGGCTGGGGTTAGGCACAGGGCACGCCTGTGCCGTGGGTCAGCATGCAGACACAGATGCAGAAGCTGGGGAGAGGGCAGAGGGAAGGCGGGGGCAGAAGCGGAACCGCCCACCCCACCTCGGGCACAGAGCCGACCTGGGCCCTTCTGCCTGACGCTGCACCCCACTGCTGGGCAGTGATGGCCATGAAAGCAGCTCTCGCTTTCCCGTGTCTCGACAGGAGCAAGGAGAGGGTGGCCCCTGCCCCGCGAATCCTTTTCCACTCTGGGGACAATAAGGACACCGCAACTAGTCAGGGCCATGGGGAGACAGGCGGGGGCCGACCGGGAGAGGGTCCCCGACAGACGCGCCTGCCAGTACCAACCAGGGCGAAGGACTGCGGGGACAGGTGTTCCTCCTGTGGCTCTTCACGAGGAGCCTGTCCTTCATTTTCTTTGTGGAGATTCAAGGATGCTAGAATGTTCTCGATTCCGGGGCTTGGCTAAAAGAACAAAGACTTTAGGCTTCGAGCTGACAGCACACGGATACAAAGAAAGCGGAGTTTCACGTGTACAAGCCATCATTTAACTTCACCCAATCATCTGCCCCAGTGAGAAACTGAATAAATGATCTTTTACCTTATTAGAATTTGGAAGACCTGCCGCCTTCTGGTTTCCTGTGACTTCCGCATTTTCATTTCTCTTCAACAGCTTAATGTTAGATTTCCCAGGCCCTCCAGGAGCCTATTAAAGTGTGAGAATGAGCTTTGTGTGCAAATAAACTTAATTACTACTTGTGTTCCAAGGGCGGCAGGGTGTTTGCCTTGCACACGGCCAACTTGGCTGATCGGGTTCGATTCCTCCACCCCTCTCGGAGAGCCCGGCAAGCTACCGAGAGTATCCCACCTGCACGGCAAAGCCTGGCAAGCTCCCCGTGATGTATTCAAGATGCCAAACACAGTAACAACAAGTCTCACAATGGAGACGTTACTGGTGCCGCTTGAGAAAATCAGTGAACAACGGGAGGACAGTGCTACAGTGCTACTTATGTTCTAAATAAATCATAAAAAGTGTGAACTTTTTATGTGCTATTTCCCCTTTTATATCCTAAGGTTAAAAAGAAGGCCTGTAAAGTAGGTGATGCAAGCAGTTACATCTGTATCATCAGCTTCCCAATATTTAATATTCCCTTCAATGTAAGCAAAAAGGCAGAACAGCGAGTTAAACTGTATTTCAACAGAATTTGTTTTTTTTCCCCCCAAATCTTAAAGATCTGATACTTTAGCATTAATTTTTAAAAATTTCCTGAACGAGAGTCCAAAAGCTTCACGAGAGGTCCACGGCACAAAATCTTGATACATTTCTCCTCTGTAACCAGGAAAATGGCCCCAGAGCTCCAGTGTGGGAGGAAACCCGGGTGCCCTCCCTGGCAGCGCCTGGTCCCTGAGCACAGAGGCAGGAACATACCTGAACACTGACAGTGCTCTGTGTGTGTGTGTGTGTGTATGTATCTCCACTTACTGAGTAGCTGCTCTGTGCCAAATATACTCTTTAATATAGTGCGAACTTAGAAGAGATCTGATTTCTAAAATCTTCCCTTCAAATATGCATACAGAAAATGCACGTCAGGTATCAAAATAATGTGGCATTTTAGGTTGAAACTGCTTTGGTTATAAAACAGACACGAAACATGATCTGTGAGAGCCACACCATCTGCCCCGCACTCAGCCGTGACTGCGATGCCGGCACACGCGCGTTCAACAACACATTCCACATCATTCACGCATGTACAGGTGTGTGTTCACTCACAGGCCTGGACCTCGAGCATGCTACGACACACGCCAGCTCAGTGAGGAGTGTCTGGAAAAACCAGAGGTCAGACTGAGCTGTACTGGGAACAGAAAGATCCCCGGGAGCACCGGGCTGCTCTGGCTGGCGAGGGGGGCCCCTCGGGTGCTGGGACCAGTCCCGAGGTGAGGTGTGGGCCCCCTGGGGACCCCAGGACTCTCAGTGTCCCGGGCGGAAACTCTTGAACCTAAGGAGCCGGAGGGCGTGTGGGCGCACACGTGCCACGTGCCATGTCCGTGCAGGGCGTCCAGGCCTCACGAGTGGACGGGCAGCTCAGCCTCCCGTGGCCTGCCTTGGTCCCCCGCCCCTTTCACGCTCGTTCTCCATCCAGCCGCCTCCCAGAGACGGCAGACACAAAGGCAGCCCCACTCAGACCACAGCGACTTCCTGTACCCCGGAAGCACGGCCACTGAAATCCATCCTTGGGAGCGGCTGCGGCAGTGAGGGGCCAGCATCCCCGTGTGGCTCCCGGGCACTGCCCCCAGGAAGGCCGCCTGGCAGAGTGCTCACCTGCTTGCCGGGCCCTCGGTGTGGCCGGCTCTCGGCCTTGGCACTCCGGGACTCTTCTTTAACTGGAGGCAGGGAAAAGGGGATTCGGGCTGTGATCAGAAACTGCGTCCCCCACACAGACCCCCTGTGTGCAAGTCCCTGGAACAGCGGCGAGAGAGCGAGCAAGTGAAGGCCCTAATCCCGTGCGACTGAGGGGCGGGGAGGCACGAAGATAAAGCGGCAGAGGCCCAGGCACAGGGACTGTGGGGTCTGCCTGACAGAGGAGGAGGAGGGAGGAAGGAGGGAGGGAAGCAGGGGAAGGGGCAGCGCAGAGAGAGGTCAGCGAGCGCAGGAGGACAAGGTGAGAGGAGGGAAGAGGGAAAGTGGGAGAGAGAAGCCCCCGCGGGCAGAGCCAGAGGCAGGAAAGGCAGGGGGTCTGCAGGGGAGATCAGTGCTCGGCTCTACTGCCCCCCCCGCCCCCCCTAGCGAGGGCATCTCTGGGATAGGAAGGTGCCCGGGGAGGGCTACGCTCGGGAGAGAACTGGCCCGAGGGGCAGGCAGGCGCCTTGTGAGAAACACCCTCCCAGCCCCCAAGGGTCCGGGCACTGTGTGGAGGACAGACTGGGCGGCACGTGTTACGTCCACGGGGCCGCGGGGCAGCCTTACGCTTCCTGTGCAGCTCCTGCTTCCTCGGCTGGCCCTTGGCACTGTCCGCTGGGCTGGGCTGGTGGGGGCGAGACGCGTGACTCTTCTCGGGAGGGGGCACGGCGCCCTGAAAATGGGATTCCATAAATGACTTACATCGAGTCTTGCTTTTCCTCACCCCTCAAAACATTAGTTCAGCAAAAAAGCAGTTCATTTGGAAAACATTTAAAGAATTCAGAAAAGCAGAAAATCTAAAGAAAAAAGTTTTCACCAGCCAGGAAAAACCCCAAAAAAACCCACAACATTATTTGGAGATCTGTGTTTGTGTGGGGAACACATGATGATGCTCACGGGTCACTCCTGCTCTGTGCCCAGGGCTGACTCCTGTCTCTGTGCTCAGGGCTGACTCCTGGCTCAGTGCTCAGGGCTCACTCCCGGCTCTGTGCTCAGGGCAGATGGGACCACAGTGGTGCTGGGATTTGAAGACCTGCCATAGCCTCATATAAGTTTGTCTTAACCTCTGATTATTTCTCCAGTCCCCAGATACAAGATTTATTAACATAGAGAGTTTTAGTCTAAACATTTCTATGTGCATTAAGTAGTAACAATCATTCTACAAAAATGCTACTTTTTGTTTGTTTGTTTTTTGCTTTTTTGGGTCACACCCGGCATTGCATAGGGATTACTCCTGGCTCATGCACTCAGGAATCACTCCTGGCGGTGCTCGGGGGACCATATGGGACACTGGGAATCGAACCCAGGTTGACCACGTGCAAGGCAAATGGCCTACCCGCTGTGCTATCTCTCCAGCCCCTAAAATGCTACTTTCAATATAAAGAATTTTGCTTTAAGTTGATACAGAAACAAAAGAAAAGATTAGGTCCATGCTTTTTCATCACACAACTATCAGCTTCTAATAATTCTTCTTAGTCGCTTCACAATCACCCCGTCTACAAAGGGGTGAGGGTGGGGGGTGTGGGTGCTGCAGAACAGGGGCAAATGCGAGATAAGAACAGGGACCCAGGGCCAACTAACAACGTTTTAGACATTTCCGCCGAAAAATCAGAAAATACAGGTTTTTTTTTTCTTTTTTTTTTGTTTGTTTTTTTTTTGTTTTTTTGGGTCACACCTGACAATGCACAGGGGTTACTCCTGGTTCTGCACTCAGGAATTATTCCTGGCGGTGCTCAAGGAACCATATGGGATGCTGGGATTTGAACCCGGGTTGGCCGCGTGCAAGGCAAACGCCCTACCCGCTGTGCTATCTCTCCAGCCCCAGGTTTTTTTTTCTTTAATGGAAAAGCTCTCAAATGCTGCCATTTAAAACTGCAAACTTGCGTGAGGGAAATTCTCAGGGGCCGCACAGGCTCCTGTGTGTGTGTGTGTGTGTGTGTGTGTGTGTGTGTGTGTGTGTGTGAGACAGAGAGAGAGAGAGAAATATTCTCAAGGGCCCACAGGCTTGTGTGTGTGTGTGTGTGTGTGTGTGTGTGTATGTGTGATTCTCAAGGACCCGCACAGGCTCCTGTGTGAGGGAGACTATCAGGGGCCCACATAGGCTCCGCCGTGGAAGGTCCAGCTTGGAGCACCCATCACCCGGTGGCAGGAGTCGCTGTCAGGCGCTACTGAATAAGGCCCCAAACCAAACTGACACGCAATGACCGTATTTTCCCTTCATCGACAATCACTATTCTTCTCCTCTGTAGTTGTCCAAATGTTACCAACTATGGCATGGATAACTGTTTTTCCAGGGCTTTTGTCTCATTTACTGCTCTGGTCTGAGTGCACAGAGTGGAGGAGGCACTCGACACACAGACACGCGCAGACCAGCGTTCCCTGAGAATGAGCAGTCCGCAGCAGCAAAGGGGTCAGAGCTGAAAGACTGCGAATGCCAAGACAGAGAGAAGGCGAAGGGGCTTGCCCGCACTCAGCCAACTCCAGCCGGATCCCTGCGACCACATCTTTCCGAGCAGTGCCAGGGGTGACCCGAGTCCGGAAGCAGGAGTAAGTAGGGCGTGGCCCCAACTGGGAGCCTCCCTCAGAACAAGACCCAAACCCAAAAGTCTGAACAGAGCTCACACTCGGGCAGAAAGGGTGCTCAGGGACCAGGGCATTTTGTGCCATGAACGCTTCTGCTGTTCATTTCCCTCTGGCTTTGCCAACGGTGCCCTGGCTGCAGGACACGGCAAAAGCCGAGACTCTTGGGAGCAGGACAGGCCCCAGAGAACATTCTGTTCAGCCAGCGAGCTGGGAAGGCAGAAAGCAACTCGCGAGAGATACAACAGAAATCCATTCCTTCTTTCCGCCCCCTGTGAGAACTCAAAGCAGAATTTCTTTTTAATCTCTATTTCTTTTTAATATCTTTTGAGGAGTATGAATTTGGTCCTTTATCTTTCAGATAACCAGCTGCTACCAAAGCACTCAGAGTTACTGAGTGCAAGTAAGGTCTTTGTCGAATTTAAAACACAGGAGGGAAGATTTTGTTTTTCCAATCCAACACTGATTTAAAACAGGAATCACCTATCTTCTAATTGATTGGCTCCAAAACACGTATCTAGCTGAAAACTTTTATTTCCATTTTATGACATTTTAGGAGAAGACAGCTCACTGTCTACCTCTGTGAGGGCAAAACCGATGCCATGACAAGCTGCAGCTAATATTAAGTCTCAACTAGGCCTCAGTTTCTGTTTCCCCAGAGCAGGGCTTGCAGTTTCTGGTAAACTCCCAGCTGAATAATTTGCCAAGATAAGCAACTGGGCAGTTGGGTCTGGCCGGTCATGAGGGGGTCACTGTCCCCTCCTTAGAAACTGCTACTAACCACTGTCTAATTGCTGACCACTGTTGTAACAGGCCCGATGCTAAAAACAGACAGAGTATATAAACCGCTTCTTAACTGAACCCTCTAGAAACCGCTTGTGATTTGGAGTCGGGGTCCTTGTCAAGACGCCACTGCGTTGGGTGAGACTCGGACCCTAGCTCGAGCTGGCAATCAAGTTTCTTTGCTTTTGCATTATCGTGTGTGAACTTGGTCTCTTCGCAATTAGGATCAGAAACTCGGGCACGACGCCTCTCAAAGAAAAACACAGACACACAGGAACACACACACACAACACACACACACACAGACACAAAGACACCCGCATTTTCCTCAGTGAAACGCCCCCCAGGCAGGCCTGACCTTTTCCTGGGGCGGTGGGGCAGGACTGGCACCCTGCAGACACTGCCAGATGGTGCAGAACTCGTCCTCGTCGTCAGTGGGGGCCTGGAAGGCAACAACATGTGTGAACGCCACGTGAACGCCATGAGCCCAAACCTAAAGAGGGTCGGAGGCGCTCGCACTGCATGCTGCCCTCCCCGGCAAAGCACCACACTTCCCAGCCACACACCACGCAGAGACCCCTGAAGACAACACGGCCCGAAGGCCGGAGCGATAGCACAGTGGGCAGTGCATCTGTCTTGCACACAGCTGACCCAGGTTCAATCCCTAGCATCCCAGATGGTCCCCCGAGCACCTTCAGGAGTGATTCCTGAGTGCAGAGTCAGGAGTAACCCCTGTGCATCACCAGGTATAACCCAAAAAGCAAAACAAACAAACAAACAAAAAACTGGAAGTAGAGTCATTTCCTTACTGAAGCTATCTGGAGAGAGGCAGGAAATGTTCCTCCGTGAGCCGAGACCTGTGACAGTGGCTAGTGGAATGGGATTGGTCTTTTTCACATGTGAATATAAGTGATTTGCAAAGGTCTTTGGAAGCATTTCAAGGAGACCAAATGCCATAAAAGAGTCTATAGAATCCATATCCATATAGAGATATTTTTGTTTTCCAAGAAACTGACATACCGGCATTAAAATGAACACTTGCAGTTTTATTTTAAAAATCTTGATCTTCCAAAAAAAAGTAAGCTACTAGATTTAAAAATCAGCTATTAGTTATGGAGGGATTTTATCAGATTAAAAAGTTTAGGAAAATATGCAGCGAAATTTAACAGTTGATACCAAGAGAGACTGAATGTTTGTGTTTCCCTGGTCACTAGCTACTTTTCTGTGTTTTCGAGCAACTTCCGTTGTTTGACCTTTAGAGATGTGGAATGGAGAGTTAAGTGATCTGCCCAAATGCTATTTCTGTTCCTAGGAACACAGGATAAAGGAATCCACAAGTGGGAATTTGGAAACATCTCCTCTCAGAACAGCTGGTCCTCTGCTTTTCACCTTTCAAACTTAGCCCGTCTCAGAGCAGAGAAGGTAGGACACTGTACGTATGGAGAAATACCCAAACGTTCATCCCCAATGTGCGTACAGGAAAACCAGGTCGCAGCCTCCGAGGCGCCGTGTCAGACCTCAGTGTGACACCTGAGAGCCATGAGAGCTGGCCCTTGGCCTGGCGGGAGCAGAGCAAAGGCCCTGGGTCCCGCGGATGAAGGGTGCGTCATGGGCCAGGAAGGGCGGGTAGAGTCTTACCTGCGTGGGAACAAACGGGGACTGCGGGGAGTGGTTGAGGCTGGCAGCGGGCTGTGGTTTCACGATGGCTGTGAGCTTCTGGCCCCCCGTCTCTGAGCGGCTCCCGTGGGACAGGTTCACCAAGGCACTGGGGGGCAGCCGGTAGCCGCGGCCTGGAGAGCACCTGTGGGGGGGGGGGGTGGGGGGCTCAGGACCATCCCAGAGACTCAACAGGGAGACGGGCAACCACAAACAAATCTCTGCTGGCGAGAGGATTCGTTTTGGAACGCCTTCCTGAGCTTTCGGGGCAAAGGCAACAGGAGACACAAGGCTGCGCGGGAAGGTCTGGCTTTGGGGCCACACACCGGGCACCCCCTGGCCACCCCGAACAGCACTACTGAGGCACCCCCAGTGGTCTTTCCCGAGGGTCTTTCCCTGCCAACTCTGACAAAAGCTCAGAGAGAAAAGACACAAAATGAGTCTTCTCCTCGCTGAAGGTCCACTATCTAGTCTACTTCTTCCTGAGACCGGGGTTCTCTTCTACAAGTCAAAAATCAAAATTTTCACCAGAATGTTAAAAACAATTTCTAGGACTTTTCTATAAGAACTTTCTAAGAAAAGGATTTTTTTCCCATGAGAATACATTTAAAGATTTGACATTACAGAAATGTCAAGGTGGCTCTCCGTCGGCCAAGAAACTGACTGTCCCCAGGAGGGTGGCATGGGAGTGAGTGGCTTTAGTGCCACTGGCAGGCTTAGGGACCACACGGCCTGCGTGGGGGTCGGATCCACATGGCCATGCGCCGCGCAAACCCTCACGGCTGTGCCAACCCCCACTCCTGTCCAGGAGCATCGAGTTTAAGTGGCAGTTTCAGAGGTACTAGGCCAAGGCTGCCATAACCAAACACGCTCATGAAAAAGTCCGATCTGGGCTTCAGGCTCTGCAGCAGCATCTGAAGACGAGATTGCAAAGTCCGTGAGCTACAGGAACATGCAACTGCAGACAGGAAGCGCTGCCGAGGGTGGGTGCCTGAGGGACGGGCTGATGCCCGATTTTACGCAGAGGCAAGACAAGAGTGACTGACCAAAATACGGGCGAGAGAGTGAAGCGCAGTGACATCCGCTCAGATTCCCACCACGCAGGCTCGGAAGGGCAAGTTGGGGACGTTTCTGTTTCCACTTCCAGCCAACCAGGAGGCAAAGGCAAGAAGGCCCCGCATCGCATGTGTCCTCCCTGTCTGTGGGCCCGTCCCGTGACCCCGACCTCCTCTTGGTGCTTCCCCAGACACACTCGCCTGGCCCAGGTTCCACGGGACGGGATGTGCTTTCTGGCCCCGCCGCTGGCGGCGGCTGAAGGGCCGGAGCGCAAGGCCAGGGCCCAGGCTCAGTCCGGCACTTCCGGCCCGGCTGGGGCTGTGCTGCAGCACAGGACCCAGCAAGCACCAGGCCCCGGGGCCCGAGAAAGAAAAGAAGCGAGTGCGAATTCTCCCCTCAAGCCCGGGGTCTCCGACCGCAGATGCTCGCTGCGGGCCCAGCACAGCGGCTTCCCACTGCCGCAGAGCTGGGAAACCAGCCTTAAGCACCGGCTCCCTCCCTCCTCCCGTCTCCAAGGTCTCAGGAAACCCCGTTTGCCAGTGGCCAGTACTCCCCAGCCTCTGGGGCCCAGCCTGGGCCCGGCCCTCCGCTAGCGCCAACAGAGACTTTCCATCACCCACGCCCAGGTCGAGGCCACTCAAGAAGGGCACGAGGCGGGGCTCTGCGGGGAACCTGCCCCCTGCACGAGGTGCTACCCGGGGCTTGGTGCGCCGAGGTCAGGGAGCTCCTCCCCTGGAGGACACCTGGGCCGCGGGCTGGGATAGACATGGGCTGGTCCTGCCACACAACCCTCCTGGACATCACGAATGGCTTGGGAGGGGAAGGCCAAGCACCAAGGCGCGCGATGCCCGGCCAGAGCCCCACCCGGCCCCGCCCGCCTGCACAGCCTCCACCCTTCATGTGCCATCTGCCTCGAGGGACTCACTGGGATGGCTAGGGACCGACTGGGGCTCTCGGGACGGCGGCCCCCCAACAGGGGGACCCAACATAGACAAGGGGCTTGGCGTCAAGGGCCCCGCCAAATACTCATCTGAAAATACGGACCGTATGGTTAAGCCTCCAGCAAACTCTTCATCAAATAGTACTTCAAACAGCACATCGGCTTCTCTGTTAGCTGTCCAGAAGAGAGACGGTAAAATGAAAAATGAAAAACAAACAACTGCGGACTCAAAAAGCAGCGAGGCAGAGTTGGAGCCGAGCGCGGCAAGGCCCGAGAAGGGCATGGGGGGACGGAGCCTCCGGGACACTGTGACGCCTCCCTGCTGGAACTCATCCCCGCAAAAGCGAATGAGAAAGAGAACTCGGGGTTCGAGCTCGGGCACTGCCGTCTGGGGCGAGAGATCTGAGCCCTGGTCGTGAGAAGGCGGCGGGGCCCAGGATTCTGCTTGGCTGGGGGAAACGTGGAGGCCACCGCCGGGAGAACCTGGGAGGACACTGAGGCAAGACCGGCACAGGGGCAGGGAAGAGTCCGTTTGGCTGGGGGGGAGAGAGATCTCCGGGGAGACGCAAGCTGACGGAAAACACTGGGGGAAGAGGAAATCTCTGCACGGATGCTCTGGCCCTGAGACTGTCAGTCAGGGAGGGAGTGGGAGACTTGAGGGCGACTCTTCCCACCACCTGGTTCTCCTGGGAAGCATGAGCGGGGCGGAGCCGGGCACGGGCGGGCAGCGTGGGGCACCTCTCCGCTTGGCCACGGGAGCAGGCACTTCCTGCAGAGGTTCCCGCCAGGCCTGCCTCGAGTCGCCCTCTCCGCCGCCCCCCCGCCCCCCGATCCGGGCCTGGGAGGCTGCGCGCTCAGGCCTTACCCCCTTTGATCCCGATGACAGTGCCCCGGAGGCCGGCGGGCACCGAGAAGTTCTCTCTCACGTTCACCACCCGGTCGAAGAGGCGAAAGTCGGCGTCGCGGTCGGGCACCACGCCGTGCTGCTGCTCCAGGGGCTGCGGACATGGGTGTGGTCAGCACTGGGCACGCCGGACCCCCCACCCAGGGCACCTGGACCCGCCCGGACACTCACGCGATAGAGCAGGTGGGGCTTCACCGTCACGCGCACCTTCTTATTGCTCTTCCTTTGCTGGGGAGCGAGGCGTGTAGAGTTAGTGCTCGGTGCTGGGCACACTGAGACCAAGTGGGTGTCTCTGCGGAGCAGCCTGAAGTTCTTTCTCCACATCAAGTCTTACTAAGCCAAAAATATCTGTTCCCTTTTGGGTCACAGGCCCTACTTGGGGTTTGCTGCTGGCTCTGTGCTCGGGGCTGACTCCTGGCTCTGTGTGCACGGCTGACTCCTGGCTCTGTGCTCAGGGCTCACTCCTGGTTCTGTGCTCAGGGCTCACTCCTGGCTCTGTGCTCAGGGCTGACTCCTGGCTCTGTGCTCGGGGCTGACTCCTGGCTCTGTGCTCGGGGCTGACTCCTGGCTCTGTGCTCGGGGCTGACTCCTGGCTCTGTGCTCAGGGCTCATTCCTGGCTCTGTGCTCGGGGCTGACTCCTGGCTCTGTGCTCGGGGCTGACTCCTGGCTCTGTGCTCGGGGCTGACTCCTGGCTCTGTGCTCGGGGCTGACTCCTGGCTCTGTGCTCGGGGCTGACTCCTGGCTCTGTGCTCGGGGCTGACTCCTGGCTCTGTGCTCAGGGCTCACTCCTGGCTCTGTGCTCAGGGCTCACTCCTGGCTCTGTGCTCAGGGCTCACTCCTGGCTCTGTGCTCGGGGCTGACTCCTGGCTCTGTGCTCGGGGCTCACTCCTGGCTCTGTGCTCGGGGCTCACTCCTGGCTCTGTGTGCAGGGCTGACTCCTGGCTCTGTGCTCAGGGCTGACTCCTGGCTCTGTGTGCAGGGCTGACTCCTGGCTCTGTGCTCAGGGCTCACTCCTGGCTCTGTGCTCAGGGCTCACTCCTGGCTCTGTGCTCAGGGCTGACTCCTGGCTCTGTGCTCAGGGATCACTCCTGGCAGGGCTCAGGAAACCACATGGGGTGCTGAGGCTTGAATCCGGGTCAGTCTTGGAAATTATTTTAAAGAGAGACTTTCATTGAAGACATAAAAAAGAAATGCAAAAGTTTATGCATCCAACCTGCTGAACTATACTAGTATTTTTGCGTGTGACCCTCCGTTCCCTCCCTCATAAACCCCTCCCATTCTCATCTAGTTATTAACTTCTAAACAGTGACCTCATTCTATCACCAAAGATGAACACCTGTCTTGTTTTGAACCTCACATAAATGCTATCCTATTCAAATGCACCTTTACTCTTCTTAAAAAGGTACACAACAGTCAATGACTATTTAAACCAAAGGAAAAACGACAATACCATGTGTTTCAAACTACTTATATGAAATCCAGTGGGTTTTGTTTTACATAGTCTTTAGTTTTGAAATCGTCTGTAAAACTGGCTTTTATGTCTGTACTTTTAATCATATATATTAAAAAAAATTGCCTACGGGGCAATGGGTTTTCTCCTGACCTTGATGGTTTTTGAGAACTCTTAAGCATCAGATTTGTTCTATCACTAAGAGAAAATGCGCACAAAATAAAAGGAAAAGACAGAAAGGGAATGATGGTGCCAGTGGCGGTGCAGGCGGTGAAGCTCAACCCCAGCTCTGCACTGAGCCCCGGGTAGGCCGGGAGGAAGCCCAGAGCAAGTGGGTGTGGCCCCCCGAAAAAAACAGGTGAATAAAGGGGGGCTGCTACTCCATTTCCTATTGAAGCGGGGTGAAGCAGATGAAATGATGGAGAACCTGTCTAGAATGCTCTTTGAAATCAAGACATGAAAGACGCCGAGACAGAGCTTTGGCGGACACGGGAGGACAGACAGTGACGGGGGCAAGCAGCAGAGTGGACAGGAGGTCACGGGCGGGGTGTGGGCTGACGTCACGGAGGTCACGTCGGCTGAGGTCATGCCGAATCGACCCAGGAGCCAATGACACTGTGGTCAGGAGACCGAACTACAGCAACCCAGCCGGGAATGTGCTGGGTAGGGTCGGGCTGGCAGGGGAGGGGAGGCAAGTGGACACTAGCGGGACTCGTGATGGACACTCGTGCCTGGAATTCTCTAGGAATGGCTGTGTGAATCATGGCACCTCAACAAGAACACTGAAAAAGACTGGAAGTGGGAGTTGAATACCACCACTGGATGCGTTTGTGAGGATGAAAGTACATCTTATCAGAGAGTCTGTAGGAGTGAATTAAAAAATTTCATGTTCTATAAAAAGACGAGCCAATTAAAAAAAAATTGAAATAGACCAATTCACTAGAATCACAAAATTCTAAATTTCGAAAATTCAAATCACTAATTCTAAAATTAGGAACAGGCTGGAGTGAGAGCACAGCAGGGACGGCGTTTGCCTTGCACGTGGCTGACCCGGGTCCGATTCCCAGCATCCCATAGGATCCCATGAGCACTGCCAGGGGTGATTCCTGAGTGCAGAGCCAGGAGTAACCACCCCTGTGCATCACCAAGTGTGACCCAAAAAGCAAAAAATAAATAAATAAATAAATAAAATAAAATAAAATTAGGAACACCATTAAAGCATCAAGCCTAAATGCTGTGGCTATTTATATTAAATAACACTTACATTTACTCAGACAAACTTGCGAGACTAAGTGAAGCTAGGATCATTTGAGAATGTTTTATGTGGCAGGAATGCAAATGAGTTACTTGTAGAATCACATATAGTGCACTGAACTTCAGTCTCAGTTATTGAATAATCTCAGCTACTGAAAATTGTATTACCTTGCATTTTTCAACTTCTTCTTCAATTTTCTCAACAATTGCTGCATCCAGAATTTGTAAATCACAAGAAGAACGAGGCAAGGTGCTGACAGGATGACCTTTTAGCCAAGTAATAATTTCTTGAACTTTTTCGGCTCTGCATTTAAAAATAGCAACTTTTTCACGTCGATTACATTTTTTGAGAGCTTATACAAAAGGTCTGACATAAACTTTACGGAGGCCATAAATCACAAGACACGACAAATCATGATTAATAACAAATCACTACACTTAAATTGGGACCACTTTAAAAATAGGTTCTCAGTAAAATCACAAAAATCAGTTTTTAAAAAAGAGCCAATGATACCTGAAATAAAATGAAATAAAAAGTCAGTAAGCTCTAAGGGCCGGAGAGGCCGGGACGGGCCGAGGGGAGGCTGGCACACAGGAGTTGGTCTGGCTGTGGCACAGAGCTGGGGGCGGCCTCTGACCAAGGCGGCTGTGGTCCCACTCCACACCCAAGTACAAACTGATGTGGAGAGTTTAAAGCGAAACCGGGGCGTGGGGGAAGCAGGAGAGATAGCACAGTGGGTAGGGCGTTTGCCTTGCATGCAGCCAACCTGAGTTTGATTCCCAGCATCTCATATGGTCCTCTGAGCTCCGCCAGGAGTAACTCCTGAGTGCAGAGCCAGGAGGAACCCTTGTGCATCGCTGGGTGTGATCCAAAAAGCAAAAAAAAAAAAAAAAAGCGAAACCGGGGCGGTGGGGGGGTGGAATTCAAAGATGGGAGCACAGTCTCACATGCACAAGCCCCCAGTTCGACTCCCAAACACCAGTGCAGTGACCCCAGTAACCCCTCACTGTGCCCGAGCACTGAGCAATCGTACCCAGAGCACCTCGTGGGCCCCTGAGTACTGTTTGGACAGCGCCCCAACTACCAAGAAATGTAAAGGGGAAAACAAACACACACTGAAGGCAGAAACAGATTCACTCCCCCAAGGAACAGCTGCTATACCAATTGCTAAAATCGCTATGCTTAAATTATAAACAATAAATGATATACATTTTGCCTCTATACCCATTTTCATTTAATTATACGAACAAATAAGACCCAATTTGGCATACCCATTTTCGTTTTCTCCAGGCCAAATGTCATCTTCATAGAACACATCCTCCTGGCTGTTTTTGGCTATGTAACTGAACAGCTCTGGGGCTCTGGCCGCAAAGAAACAAACACAACACGGCTTAAAACAACAGAACTCATTTGCATAATCACCCTATCAATAAGGGTCAGACATTGGTGATCTGAAAATAATCACAGACCTTCAAAAAACAGTATCAACAGCTTCAACTGGTAATACACTTCAATGACTGGTAGCACTGCACCACTGTCCTCCCGTTGTTCATTGATTTACTTGAGCGGGCACTAGTAATGTCGCCACTGTGAGACTTGTGTTACTGTTTTTGGCATATCGAATATGCTACTGGGAGCGTGCCAGGCTCTGCGGTGCAGGCGGGATACTCTCGGTAGCTTGCCGGGTTCTCTGAGAGGGGTGGAGGAATCGAACCTGGGTCGGCCGCAGGCAAGGCAAACTCCCTACCCGGTGTACCCAGTCAACCTGGCAATACACTTCAATGACATGTAACCTGGGAATATACTTCAGTGACATGTAATCTGGGAATATACTTCAGTGACATGTATGTAACATGCGAATATACTTCAATGACATATAACCTGGGAGTATACTTTAATGACCAGGGCGGGGGTCTCTGTGACGAGCCAGTCAGACGCTCCACACAGATTGGAGGCTGAGGCCTAGCAGGGACCCTTGTGGGGGGCGCAAGACAGCTCGAGGAAAGATGCCTACCAGGGAGTGATCTCGGGGGCTCGGCAGGGACCCCCGGGAAGGTCAGGGGTCGGAGTCTGCAGCTTCAGCCCCAGGCCCCTGGGGTCACCGTGCTCTCAAACAGGACTGGACACTGGCCATCACTCACGGAACATGGCCAGAAAAGATCCCCGGAAGAAGATCACACTGGACGGTGGAGTGAAGGAGGTGCAGGGTGTGGGGTGTGGGGCCTGGGCTGGAGCTGATGGCAGGCGACACGCCATGGCCTGGGCTGTGACCCACCCGAGTCCAGGGCTCCACCTCCAGGGAGGCAAGATGGCCAGAGACGGAGACCCTGGAGTCACAGTTCCACCCAGGCGGGAATTAGAGGGGTCACTGCAGGGGACAGGGAAGGGGGCCCAATGACAGCAAAGGATTGTGCTAGAAGGAGAGTCGGAGGGCAGCCATCAGGCAATCAGTTGGTACTGACCCAGGAAGGGGGTGGGAGTGGGGGACGGGAGAGAAGAGAGAGAGAGAGAAAGAGAGAGAGAGAGAGAGAGAGAGAGAGAGAGAGAGAGAGAAAGAGAGAGATCAGAAAGTATGAGCATGAGAAAGAGGGGGGGAAGGGAGGGAGGGAGGGAGCCAGGGAGAGAGAGGGAGAAGAGGGTGAGAGGGTGAGAGGGAGGGAGGGAGAGAAAGAGGGACAGAGATGGAGAGAAGGATGGAAAGAGAAGGAGGGAGAGTGAGAGGGAGAGAGGAGGAGGGAGAGAGTGAACTAATCTGCCTGACTGCACTGACTGATGCAGCGCTGGCATGGACTTCAGGGCTGAATTAGTCACGTGAACACAGATGGCCACAGGGAACACAGGTCGGAGAAAGGAAATGCAGTCAGAAAACTCTACGGAGCCCAGCTGTGCCCGTACGCAGCATGGTAAATAAGCGTCTCTTTTTCGTTTGGTGGCTTTGGTTTTTGGGTCATACCTGGCGATGCTCAAGGCTTGCCCCTAGCTCTGCACTCAGGAGTCACTCCTGGTGGTGTTCAGGGGACCAAAAGGGATTCTGGGGATCGAACCCAGGTTGGCTGTGTGCGAAGTTAGTACCCTATCCACTGTACTATCACCCTAGCCATCAATATGTAAACCTTAAACACAGAATTAGTTACTAAAATAACGAAGAACTTGTTCAGTCCACGAGGCCCAGCAGTCTTTGTCCGGATTGACTGTCCCCTGCCGCCAAGTCAGGCAAAGGGGCGAACACTTCGTGAGACCGAGCCAGGCCCCTTCTGTTTCCAGGAGGCCGGTTCTCCCTGGGCCTCCCATTTCCAGCCACAGTGACCCTGATCATTTTTCGGCTCCACTTCTGCAAGCGGCGCCCTGCAACAGAGCTGAGCTCGGCTGCGGTGGACGGTGCATGCCCGTGCCCAGGCTCACCTCTCCAAGTACTCCTCGAGGAGCTGCTCCGCGGCCGCTGAGTACATCCACTCGCTTCCGACTCTCTTCGTGTAGCCGGGAACCTCCTCATTTTTTTTGTTGAATTTGAGGTTCAAACCCACATTTGCTTTATGGTCTCCGTGAGGGCTGGATGGAAACCACACGGACAAGGGTTACATTTTGTTCAAGGCATCCAGGTTTTGCTTTCACATTCTTGGGGAGGCTCCTAGCTCTGGCTCATCTCCTGGGCTTGTTTACAGGATTTACGTTCAAAGCAGCAGTAATGGAAACGGGAGAGTAAGCTTGCAAACCCAAGCTAGCGAAACTGATAACGCTACAATTAGGAAGATCAGAGAGGGAAATGCGGGGAAATAGAACTGATTCACACACACCGCCTGATACCTTTTTTCAAGGTTCGATTGATTAGCCACTAAGGTAAGATCTGTGCTTGCAACCACTTATGACACGTGCGGTTTAGATGAAAGATCCCCATTAGAGCAATTTATGTATACGTTTAAAGGAAATTCAGAGCGATGGATGCGAGAAAATAAATCCTGAAATAGGAACCATTTTAGCTTTATCATTTAATTTTCTCTGCCACTTTATGAAAATTTCTCTAACGTAAACTTACTTTCTCCTAGATCCTCTTCCAATAAAAATACTTCCTGTAAACCTTGAAACAAGGTATCCACTCACTCCAAGGCGACTGGCCAACACATATCCTGGGTTGTACTTTATAGAATATTTCTTTAAATATAAAAACAAAAAGGTCAATTGTGGAAACACAGAGCATTCAGTTTTCTTTTTTTAACCTTTAAAATACGGATATAGTCAAAGCCATCACTAACTAGAGGGCTGCTGCACTCTAACGGTTCTAAAAACCCAGCGGGCTCCCGCCCCTGCCCCTGGCTCCCTGCGGTACATGTACAGGGAGACTCTCCCCCGGGGACGAGTGAAGGGGCACGCCAGGGACCAACACAACTGTGCCGACAAGAGACCTCTGTGCCGGGTACTAGCTGCTGGGTTCTGCAGGCAGGAAGGAGGTTGCTTTTAGATTTCTGATTCTATTCTGTAGCTGACATGGCTCATTAGAACGTTTCCTCATGGACATAACTGCAGCTCCAATCGCATCACCAGCGTACCCACATCTGGCAAGAACGAGTTTTCAAAAAACAGGAACGATGCACTGCAGCAGGGACAAATGAGGCCAGGAGCTACTGGAACTAATTTGGGCATGGAGCCGAATAGTGGCTAAGGAGCAGAACTAAAAGCGCTCCTCCTCTTCGCTTGTGTACTTAGGGCAGAAGCTATGAACTCACATCTTTGGAAGAGAAGCAAAAAAAGATTTTATGATTTTTAGCGAGGAAGTAAGTTAACTCATCATACAGTATGCACTGGAACAAAGTACCAAGGCACACACAATACTTATTTAGCATACGTTTTATATTCTTGTATCTCTATGAGAATACTTTATATTAGCACACCATGTCAGCATATTTTGTCACTAATAAAAACAGTTTCCTGAGACTTCAGTCACTAGTTCTAACGCTCATGCCAAAAATGGTCCCCGCGTGACTGCTTTTTGGGGAACCTGGGCTGGAAAGTTATCATGAAAGTATTTTCATATCTGGTTTGCATGATGAGCCTTCGCAGGCTCAGAACTAAAAGGAGGTGGGTTGTCATAAAGAACCAAGGCAGACGCTGGTGGCCGGCACCACGGTCCCAAAGAGTGCAGAGACGTGCAGGCACCCGCCTCCCCCGCCACCAGCTGGACGGCCAGTCCCATCGTGCCCAGGCACTCGGGGCCTTCCAGAGAGATGATAGCAAAGCGTCAGGAGTTTCTGCTGAGGCCTGAGGCCTGACACTGCCTGGGACAGAAGCAGCTGCTCTAGCTGACGCTCTCACACCTGCTCCAGCATCAGGGAGTGCCAAGGAACCCAGTGCTCAGAACCAGGCCCGGACTGAAGGGGTCTGGAATGGCCGAGTCCCAATCTGAGCCAGGAGGCCTTGGCAGGATGGCCATATGTCACTCGCGCTGGGAAATGCTGGCATTGCCTCAGAGGTGCCCACTGTGTTTACTACTGGGCACACGCCCGGCGCCCACTTGGGCACTGAAGGTCAAGATAGGACTTCAGTCCCTACAGCCGAGCAGTCTGTACCGACCGCAGTCCCTCGAACTGACACTTGCTGCGGCTCTGGGGCTCCCACCCAGACAACGCAGCGGGGAAACAACCCGCCCTGGAGTCGGAGTCTCAAGCGCGTGAGGACTCACATGCTGGTTCTGGACGAGCATGTCCAGCGCAGGTTCACACGGGATGCTGAAGAGCACGCGGATCCGACCTTCGGGGATCACATCCCCCGAGTCCTGAACCTGCAGGGCATTAGCAAGCTTCAGTTTCTCTTGCTCCGTTGCACTGACTTTTATTTTTTCTTTTTGGGTCACACCCAGCGATGCTCAGGGGTGACTCCTGGCTCTTCACTCAGGAATTACTCCAGGCGTTGCTCGGGGGACCCTATGGGATGCTGGGAATTGGACCCAGCAAAAAAAGGCAAATGCCCTCCCCACTGGACCATTGCTCCAGCCCCTGTCTCACTGACTTGTGACTTGCTTGAACAGTGTTGATTCTTTATGCAAGACAGTAACTTCGAGTTACCAATAGGCTTCAAAAGCAGATTACTGAACATCTGAGCAGCACTGACCAAGATACATGGGTTGTTAATACTCAACACATCTGCTTTAACATCTGAGCTCTGCACAGTACTTGTACACACATAAGGGCTTTTCTGAGCCATCTCAGGAAGCACCAGCCTGCTCAGGCTCAATACTCCTGAATATTTCCTGTGCTTCTCCAAGGGCCACAGCACACTTGGCCAGCTGCTGTGTTTGTGTGTCTGCACCGACCCGCACTGCTGTTCAGATCGCAGCCTCAGCACCTGACCTACTGTGTCCACAGACAATGTTTTTCTCAGTACTACAGGGGTTAGCCCAGGATCAAGCCCGTGGAATCAACCCTGAGCGCTCTGTCACAGTGATGTTCGAAAGACTTCAGCCCAGGGGCCACAGAGAGCGTGGAGGGGTAAGAAGCTGGCCAACCCTGCATACGGTCCTCCAAGAACTGCCAGGGTGAGCCCTGAACATAGAGCCAGGAGGACACCCTGAGCACCACTGGGCGGGGCCTCCCTCACCCCAAACCTAAAGCAAACAGCCACAGAGTCCTGAAGGCAAGGGGCTTTCTCTGCACACGCCAGGCCCAGGCAGAGTCGCTGGCACCACGTGTGGTCCCTGAGCACGGCCAGGTGTGGCCCGCCCAGGCCTGAGCAAATGGGACACAGCCCTCCCCTCCCTCCTGATGCGCCTGGGGCAGGCAGAGAACCCAGGGCAGCGCAGACAGGGATCCATCGGGCACGTCACAGTGACCTGTGCCCGCTCTCCACTGGACACACAGTGAGGGGGAGGGAGGCAGGTGGGCCCCAAAGTGTGGGGCTGGTACTCACCTCCCCGGTGCAGCCGTAATAGGGGGCACCGAGCATGAAGACCACGCTCCCGGTGGGGAACAGGTCACCCAGAGTCCTGATGGTGGAGAAACGCGAGTCGAACGCGCAGATGTCCTGTGTGGAGGGGACAGTGGTCAGCTTTGCGGGGGGGGGGGGGGGGGGGGCGGCGGCGACAGTGCGGAAGGCGTGGGAGGAAGGGCCCTGCTCACGGTCCGAGGGGCTGAGCCCTCGCAGCCATGGGAGGTCACCGGGGGCTTCAAATCACGGGACCCACCAGGAACCCCGCCCGCAGCCCACGGGCCCAGCGCTAGTCTGCCTTCAGGGAATCCCCGAGTCTGCTCCCCAGGCCACAGAAACCAGCCAGAGCCTCCACACTGTCCTCTCACCAGAGCTAAGATAACACGCACTAAAACAAACGCCTTGCCTGTCTGCTGGTTTATTTTAAAAGTACATGTTTTCTCAAGACTAAAAATCTGAAAACACAAGGGTGAACACGATCATTGTGGAACCCTCTGTCAGAGATGAAATGGAGAAGGAGAATCTAAGTCCCTAACTATACCTGCTGTCTGGACGCCACCGGGGCACTGCACATGTGACACCTCACCTCCCTGTGCATGGTCCCCTCTTTAAAGGCACCAGCGAGAAGCTTCCTCCTGACCCCACCCGCGTGAGCCCTGACAGAGATTTACCTTGACAATGGTCTGAAACACAAACGGAAGCACTTGTTTTGACCACTGTTTCTCCAGGCGAACGTCGCCGTTGGGGCTGATCTGGTATTTCCGGCCCGTGAGTAACTGAGCATACACAACGGCAGGTGTCTCATTTATTATTATTCCTTTTCTCCTAAGGTAGCTAGAGGAAGAGTAATAGAGGAAGGTAAGTCTGTGGACACGGGAGTCTGCCCGGGGCGTTCACACCCGAGACTGCCAGTTGCCTGAGGCATCACTGAGCAAACACGAGACTGTCTGGCCAGCGGCTGGGCTCTCTCGGTGCCTAGGAACTCAGGGACAGCACCAAGGCCCCTGAGGCACTCCGGGGGCCTACCCACCAGGATCCTCCAGCGGCAAAACAGTGAGCAAACGAAAATTGTCTATAATGCAAAATGGCCGCTGCTCCTGGTTGGACCCAAAGTGTTGGAGAGAGTTTCTGGAGTCCAGCAGCCCTGAGGCCTCTACCCCAAGCCCACAGAATGAACAGGGCAGACAACACTCCCAGCAGCAGTGCTCAGGAGAAGCAAGAGGTGAGAGCAGGGCCAGGGTGAGGGGGCAAGCGGGCCCCACCTGGCACCTCACTGCTTCCAGAGCCTCCCAGGGACAGCCTGAAGCCGGATCACCCCACACCTCGGCCCCAGCACTCAGCTGCAGACAGAGCAGCTCGGGGGCGGGAGGCCTCCCCTCCTCACCCACAGAGGATGTGGACATCTCCATGTTCACCAGAGAACGAGCGGGAAAACCAGAGTTTCCTGTGTCCATACAGGGGAATTCAATGTAAAATTTAAAGATAACTAAAATGTTTAATTAACAATTTATAATAATTTTAAATTAAAAAAATTTTTTTTTAAACGTGGCCATAAAAGGGCTCATTCCAGCCCGAAACATACTACAAGGTGCCGGAGCATCCAAGACGCACTGCATGGGGCTGGAGAGGGGCGGGCATATAGGAAGTACGGCCCAGCCCTGCACGGGCCCCTGGGAGAGACCCTCACAATGTTGGGGGAGACCCACGCTTGGAGCCGGGAGCAGCGCCCAGGCTTCACTGGGTGTGGCCCTTGGGGGCCAACTGAAATAAACACCAAAAAATAGACATGAGGCACGTGTGAGAGGCCAGTCACCAAAGGTCACAGTGCATGGTCCCGCTTGCAAGAACTCTACCCAGAATGCAGGGGTGAGGGCGAGAGCATAGCGGGGAGGGCACCTGCCTCGCACGCGGTCAACCTGGGCTCCATCCCCAGCACTCCATGTGGTTCACCAAGCACCACCAGAAGTGATTTCTGAGTGCAGAGTCAGGTGTGAGCCCTGGACATCACTGGGTGTGGCCCCCAAAGCCACCCCCAGCCAACCCCAACGAACATCCAGAACAGATCCCAGGGCAGGTAGGGAGTAGGCCCGCGGCTGCCATGTTGCTGTGGGCGTGGAGCCCAGAGTGGCCTCTGCTTGCACCCCCCACCCCTTGGCTGTGGAGATGGGGCAGAGTGGAGAGCAGAGAGAACTGGGAGGGTTGGGGGGGGGGGGCTGCTGTGGCCCCCAGCTGAAATCAATCAACCAAAAAGCATATTCTAAGTATTCTAAATTCGAAGGTGTTGGAAAGTGAAATCTGCACTTCAGAATCCAGGAAACAGACACACGTGCTAACTGAGTGCTTCGGTGCATTTTGTATTTGTTCTAATTACACTGTGAAACAAACTTTTCACAGACACCTTCCACCATTTCCCCCTTCAGTTCACTTTGGTCTGAATTTTAATACTGAATCTTTCACCACCTGCATCTGTCAAGCATGTATGATACTATTTTTCGTTTGCTATTTTGGGCAACTTCTGCCGGTGCTCAGGGGGTGACAGGGGGCAACGTGAGATGCTGGAACCAAACCGGGTCAGCCTTGAGCAGGGCAAGTGCCTGCCCACTGGACTATCGCTCCAGCCCCCGATGGGGAGTTTTTTTAAGGAGAGTGAGCAGAATCAAACAGGCTTTTGCTTTGTGTTTCATTCCAGTACTTTCCCTCTCCATTCTAGCCTCAGTATCTACTATACACATATGTGTGTGCGTGTGTGTATGTATATGCATATATATATATATATATATATATAGAGAGAGAGAGAGAGAGAGAGAGAGAGATGTAGAGGGGAGACTGGGTCACATACAGCAGGATCAGGGCTTACTCCTGGCTCTCAGTTCAGGGGACCAAGTGGGGTGTCAGGGATCAAATCCTACGTGTCTGCTGTAGGCCAGACAAGAGCCTTCAGCCTTCAGCATCAAGCACTATCTCTGGCCCAGGGTCTACCTTCCGAGCTGAAGGCCCCCAGGAGCTTCTGCGGTCACAGGTGATCTGCACACGGAGTGGCAGGAAGCATACCATTACTGCCGAGTTTCTTTCTTGTCTTTGCTTCATGAAATATTTCACTAACTGGGCAAGGCAATAACTGTCAAATGTTATTTTGAAATCGTGCTCCCGGGGCTGGAGTGATAGCACAGTAGGGAGGGCGTTTGCCTTGCCTGTGGCTGACCTGGGTTTGATTCCCAGCATCCCATATTGTCCTCCAAGTACCGCCAGAAGTAATTCCGGAGTGCAGAGCCAGGAGCAACCCCCAGTGTGAACCAAAAAGCAAAAGCAAAAATAAAAAAAAGTGTTCCCTATCTTCCTTGGGGCTGGAGCGATAGCACAGCTGGTAGGGCGTTTGCCTTGCATGTGGCCGACCCAGGTTCGATTCCTCCATCCCTCTTGGAGAGCTCGGCAAGCTACCAAGAGTATTCCACCGCACAGCAGAGCCTAGCAAGCTCCCCGTGGAGTATTCGATATGCCAAAAACAGTAACAAGTCTCACAATGGAGATGTTACTGGTGCCCGCTCGAGCAAATTGATGAACAACGGGAGGACAGTGCTACAGTGCTATGTCTTCCTTAGAACAAAGAAGAAAGACAAGTCCGAGTGACAGTGAAGTTAGCCAGAGAGGCCACCGCAGCAGATTCCTCAGGATACTCACTGTTCTGAAATTCCTTGAACTTCTTTTGACCAATTAGACTGTTCTTTGTCCCCAAGATGAACCACTTGAGATGGCGGCACGGCTCTCCCCAAATAAAGCTTCTGTGTTCCCGGAGGTTCTTCCAAGTAAAACCTTCGAATGAAAACACACAGAACTCTAGCAGCAGTCAGTGGCCAAGGGGAAGGTTGCTCTATGGGATCGCAGCCGCACAAGCACTTTGAGCAAGGGGTTGAGCATTTTTCTGTTATACTTTTTAAAACAGAGCCTTTACCGACTATGAACCTGAACTAAGATACTACATGTAGCTTCCAACTGACAAGAAGCACGTGGGAGGCGGGAGCCCAAGAAAGAACTTTAGGAGCTACAACGGGTGAACACAGATGGGACCCGAGCTCAGCAGCGACTTAGGAGTATAAAATCACACACAGGAAACAACTGTTATCGATTACTCTAACTAGGGAAACTGCAATTCACAATCATATTGCCTGCAGCTAAAGTGTGATAAAACATGCACAGACTCCATATGCCGAGGGAAAAAAAAATCAGACCGATGAAAACAATCCAAGATTCAAATAAAGGGAGAGATATTCCACTTGAGATCCGACACATTAAAGAGGTCAAATACAAATTAGTTACAGACCTCAGACAACTCTTTGTTTTGTTTTTGGGCCAGACCTGGCTCTGCACTCAGGAGTCACTCCTTGCAATGCTCAGAAGATCATACTGGATGTCAGGGACTTAATCCGGGTCGGGTGCGTGCCAGGCAAGTGCCTTGCCTGCTGTACTATCTCTCTGGGCCCCCGTATACAATTCTTATCAATGTTATTCTACTCTTTTTTATAGATGGGAAGAAATTTATTCTAAAGTTTATATGGAAAGGCAAAGGGTGAAAGATAACTAAGATGGTGAGGAGAGTGGAGGGCCCCGAGACAGCTCGCAGGGCTGGAGCACAGGCTGGCATGACCCCTTGAGCCCACAGCCAGGAGAAGCCCCTCAACAGGATGGGGTGTGGCTCCCTCAAAACGAAAACCCCAGAGAAATGAAAATCAGACAGCAATGAGAGGTCACCTCACACCAGACTTACACACATAAAAAAACCAGAAGTAATCATTTCGACCTAGAAAAGGAGAGCCCCATGCACTGGTGGGAAGGTTAGCCAGCTGCACGACACAGGCAATTCTCAAAAAAGGAAGGGCTGGCTCCGAGATGGAGCAATTCTATGCCTCAGAGCCCTCCCCCGGCCATACAGAAACTCTCAAATAGATGCTGCGCCCCATGCTCACTGCAGTCCTAGAAACAACCCGAGTACCCAAGAACCGGTGACGTGCCCGACACTGTGTGTGTGCGGTGCATGATTGTGCTTTCGGTTGTGCCATCTGCCATGGGGCAATGGGACTCGAGGGTATCAGGCTTCCACCAGAAGAGGCAGCTACAGAATGATCTCTCTCAGGTGGGGGAAATACGCCCAGTGGGCTTGAACAAAAGTGACAGAAGCAGAAGGGCATGCAGGTACGGGGGGAGGCGGGAGCCACAGGACCCTGGGATGGTGTGGAGGCAGGGCACGGGTGCTGGGTGTGGGATACTGTGGAACCCCATCATGGAGGCACTGTTCGTCCTGGGGCCTCCAGTCAATGCTAAAGCAGGGCAGACTCACGCAGACCCCAGCGAACACAACACAAGCTGTCTATGGACACAAGTGGCATGGGGTCCGGGGCCCATCCTTCAAGTTTCTTCAAAAACACGATCGTGAATCAAGTCTTACTTGGTTTCTCCGTCTGATACGCCAACCACTCTAGCTTCCTCAAGGTGAGGCCAATTCACAAACACAGACTTCCCAAGGATGGATGAAGCCACATTCTCGACGCTCTTAAAGGAAGGAAAAGTACAACGGGTCACTCACGCTCTCTTTTTTTTCCAGGAAAAAAAAAACAAACAAACAAAACTTTACAGAAGCTGCCTTAACCCAGTGCTCTCTGGCCCCTCTACCAGGCTTCAGCTTTTCCTCTTCGTGACTGAACTGTCTCCTGGCTTTTCCCTCTTCAATTTACCGTGAATGCCCAGCTCTCACTCAGAGAGTGAGGGGGGCTGCCTGGATGGACAGCCCCGCTGCTGGGCCTGGCAGCACTCACACGTCCCTCTTTTGGGCGCATGATACCTCCTTTTTACTCTTAGCCCTCCCCCTCTCCTTTATGACAGAATTTTGCTTTGTGAGATGCCTTTTCTCCATCCGAGGGTATGTTTCTGCCTCCCAAGCAGCCCCATGGTGGATCTTCATCTCCTCAACCCAGCAACTCTCGCTGAGATCCTCTATTCCAGCTAACAGAAATTATTTTTCTGTAGATCAGTCTAGGGAGCCAATACTGGACTTCTGTTTTCAGCCCCTGTGTTTGAACAAATGATGCATTTGTTGATTTTATCTAGTTTTGTCCCTCTAGCTCTCTCTGGACCTACTTAGCTTTGTCCGTCTGGTTCTCTCTGGATCTGTGTAGCCTTGTCCATCTGCACCACTTCCACCCTTCCTTATCAGCTAATATCTCTACCCCTACAACTTCTGAGATTGTGGCTTCTCCACCTTCTTCATTTCCCTTTTGTGCAATAAAGTTCATGAGCTTAGTATTTCAAGACAGTCCTACAAAAGCCCGATCTCCTCCGGCTCGGCGCCAAGTTCTTCCGCCTTTCCGTAGCCACCCTCCCTACGCTATTTCCGTGCATAATCCCCACCTGGCCCGCTCAGGTATCCAGCCCTTTCCTCAACACATCACACTTATTCTGAAAAGAGAAAAAGAATCAAGAAAAATGTCGGAATCCAGAAAAGGTTAAAAGGAATTAAGAGACTGTCTCACTTTCTAAAAAAAAACCCTACAATTTTGTGCTCCTTATGTCACAAACATATCCTTTCTTTCGTGTGAATGTGTCTTTGCCACATCCTTATTTGGGGGAAACTTCTGGAATGACTGCATATTAACCTGCGGCTAGGGAGAACTGGTGCATGATAAACACCTAATAAGCATGTGACAATTACTCACAGCATCCTCTGAATCCGGATCCACCATTATTTCCAACATCATGTTTTCTCCACGGCTGCTTTGCTGAAACACTTGAACCCCACTTTTCTTCAAAAAAAACTTCAAGAGAATTCCAAATATTACAATTTAATTATTTTTCCATTGACTCTTTACATATAAGAAAGTGAAAGAAAAATCATGAAACGAAACAGTCACTGACTTTGTGTTTGATGTGCTTGAGCGTAGGGAATCCACAGAAATACAACGCTTTCTGGTCAACTTTGGTTATCCTGTTCTTGCTGATGTCTACACGCCAAGCATCTAAGGATATTATTTTACATCTAGAAAATAAATGGAGGCATTTAATTAAAAATTCAATCCTACCAACATCCAGCTTCTCCGCATTCCGGTGGTTATTCTGCAAGGATCATCCTTGCATTTCAACAAGGAATGACAATTCATCCTTCAAGACCAGGATAGAGCAGGACGCCCCCTCTCTGGGTCACAGGCCAGACACGACCATGTCTTGGGCTACTGGGCAGAGATATTCCCCACTAATCTAAAACTGATCTGTTTATCAGCTTGACCAGGGCACGCTTAAAGTATATCACAGAAACCTCCATTGCCTCCACGCCTGGAGACCTAGAATTTCACGATCTCTATTTCATCTTCCTGTCTTAACAAAATGAAGAATCCCAACAGAGAGGCCACTTATTTGCAACTGGGTTTCCATCTTGGTCAGTTATTTGCAGGGAAGATAAGAAAGAGAACGAAGAGGTTTCGTTGTGGCAAGAAGACAGAAGGGTCTTTGATTTATTTTCCTCGCTGGTGGAGTAACTGAGAAAAGTGGCAACAGCACAGCGTTATCAAGTAACGCTGAGTGAGGGAGAATGCTGCTCTGGCCCCGACCCGCCCAGCTCGCGAGGCCCTCGGCCTGCTGTGGGGGGCATCCGCTCCCCGACCCCATCGCTGTCTGCGGCCCTCGGCCTGCTGAGGGGGGCAACATGCCTTGCGCAGCACCGCTCTATGGCGGGGAACTTCTCCGGCCAGGGCGAGGCGTAGGGGAAGTCTGCGTCGCCGTCGTACCAGCACATGAGGCACTCGCTGTGCTGGTTTCTCTTCCTCTCCTCCGTCTTGAGGGAGTGATTACAAGTCTCCATGGCTTCCAGCAGCCGCTTCTGAACAGAACAATCAAGAGACAGATTGCTGAGCCTGAACACCCTGACAGACAGAATAAGTCTCTTCCCTCCCTACACGAAATCATCATTTGATTCTCAAAGTAAACTCAACTAAGGAAGCTTTTCCATGTCGTTACATGCAAAGCCACGTCTCTGTTCCACAGGCCCTTGGAGACTGCAGGCTCTGCAGATCCCTCTCAACCTGTTCCTCAACAAGGCCAAGAAGAGCCCCCACGCCTGGACAAGAACAGGAGAAAATCAAATACCTTCCCAAGACTGGAAATCTGTCATCTGACAGAAACCTGTGAATTTCATGAAGAAACCTCAATGAATATCGTAAACATTAATTCAAAATATGGCACTACTCAAGGGCGACCCTGGCCCTGTGCTCAAGGGTCACTTCTGGTGGATGTGGGGCCACATACGGTGCTGGGCACTGAACCCAGACCGGACACACGCAGGGCGAGTGGCCCTGGACTAACTTCCTGTTTGGAGTGGGAGAGGTGTGAAGTGACCCTATCACAGCTGGTCCTCCCGGCAGTTCCCAGGCCTCTCGGCACCAGGGCTAAAACCGGGCGCAGTGAGCAGGGCACATGCTCCACCTGCTCGGTTCTCCAAGCATGCGAGGACCTTGGTTACTCCACGCGCACGTTCAAGGGGAATGGACCGTCTTCACACTGTGCGCCAAATGGGCACACACACAAAAATGCACAATATGCATGCCTCAGAGAAAGAATGAGTGTTTTCTGGAGGACACAATAACTCATTCTCGTGAGGGGCACGGCAGGTAACGGACCCAAACCCCTACGGGAGAAGCAGGCGAGGTCTGTTAGAAGAAACGTAAGTCCCGTGAGAGAAGGAGCCTCTGAACCTGAACTGATCAGGATGGTTATACTCCACCCCAGTCACAGAGCAAATCGAGACACCGGTGACATACAAGGCGACACGAGTGGGGACACCTGAAAGGCTCAAAGGAACCAGAGATGCCATCAGGATGAGCGGGAGGGTCTGTGTCTGAGACAGTGCAGGGCTGCCATGATTGCACACCCGGCGCAAGTACAGAAGCACCACCTGTAACCGTGTTACCTCAATTAAAAACATTTTTTTTAAAAAATAAAAATTCAAAGAGGCCAGAAGCAACCAGTGCTGGCAAGGGTCTGGAAAACGAGGAAGAATCATACACTGCTGGTGCAATCCCAACTCTTCTACTTTGTGTGGAAACCAGCCTGGAGGCCTCCCGGGCAGGGACAGGAGACACACCTGAGGCAGGGCTGCACGACACCGCTGGCCGAGCACAGACAAGACCTCAGGAGCACACGTGCATCCCAGACTCACTGCAGGGCTACTGACGCAGCCAAGACCAGGGACAAGCCGAGGACCCACAGAGAGGGGACACGGTGAGGGGCTCACGTGTATGTGGACACCGATCAGCTTACAAAAAGGGATTAAAAAAAGAAAGGGACAAATAGCGCCCTTTGCTGAAACACGGATGGGAAGGGAGAGAGTCGTGCGGAAGCAAAAGAATCATACTGGGCGATACGCTACTTCCCTCATACCTGGGCTATAATGTGTCATGGCTTGACACACATGAAGGATGTAAAGGACACATACAAGGCTGAAGGAGAGCAAGTGCTTCAGCAGAGCTGAGGTGGTGGGGGGAGGGGGGAGGGGAGAGGCCGAGTGAGTGACCCCGGCCTGGGCGAAAGGCTGAAGGTCCTCTGGTGGGGGTGTGGCATGGTACGCCAGGGTGGGAGACAGCACTCTTGAAAGACACCCAAACAAGCCACCATCCCGGCACTCAGGCCAGCCTCCGTGTGTGACGGGCCCAGCACCAACCTCGTCGATGAACGGGATGAGGACCACGGCTTCCCACTCCTGCTGCTTCCCATTGAGGTCTGTTTTGAAGTCCGGAGGGTAATACTCTATGATCGGCGAGTCTTCGCTGGTCATCAAATGCTGGAAAATACGGACAACATTAACAGGAACAGAAGAATTCATGCTTGCGCATAGATTTTGAATATGCCGCCTTATAATTAAAATTTTGCTCTTATTTTTGTTTTGTTTTGGGCCACACCCAGCTGTGCTCAGGGTTTATTCTTGACTCTGAACTCAGGAATTATTCCTGGCAGTGCTCGGGGGGGACAACCTGGGATGTCAGGGATCGAAGCATCGTCCCTGCTGTACTATTGCTCCAGCCTGATAACTTAAAACGCCTGAGCAAAGCAGAATCAGATTTCTCCCCATCAGATCCATGTCGGCACACTAGTTGGGACCATATGGGGCGCAGCAGATTGAACCAGGGCAGGCTGCAGGCAAGGCCTGACCCTGTGCCCTCCCTTCAGCGCCCCGAAAGATTTTGTAACAGAGGAAGACAGAGAAAGCTGAAAATGTATTCTAAAAAATCAGGATATAAAAGTTTTTATAGAAATAAGGGGCTGGAGCAATAGCAGAGAGGGTAGGGCCTTTGCCTTACATGCGGTCAACCCAGGTTCGATTCCCAGCATCCCATATCGTCCCCTGGGCACAGCCAGGGGTAATTCCTGAGCGCAGAGCCAGGAGTAACCCCTGTGCATCGCCGGGTGTGACCGAAAAAGCAGAAAAAAAAATTTTATATAGAAATAAAACACTATTTCTCAGGTGATACTTAAAATATTTAATACCATCACATCTCAGGCAGAAAATCGTCCAAACAGATGTACTAGCAATGCTCACAGTGCCCTGGTCCAGCAGGACTGGCGTCACTGTCTCTAGGGACAGATGAGACAAGAACGGGAGAGGCGGAGATCCAGAGCCGAGGGTGAGGGGCAGGTGAGCTTTCCGAGAGCCGAGTGGGGTGGCACGGCGGCACTGCTCACGAAGCCTGAGTCTGAGGCAGGAAGAGTGTGTGCTCGAGGGGCAGCAGGGTGTGTCTGAGGGAGGGATTGTGGGAGGGGAGAAGGCAAAGGGTCTTGCATGTGCCAAGGGCCACTCAGAGATCTAGAAGACCACGCACATACAAGACACCCCCGCGTTCAGCCATTAGCCTAAACACTAAATACTAAGTACTCTGGCTGCTACCAAATGTGGGTGCCGTGTTCCTGGTCCCCAGGAACCGCTCCTCCAGACCCACGCGAGCATCAGGGCTTCTCCCCGAGGCCCACCTGGTAGCAGGCGGGCAGCAGACTCTTGCTGGCGGCTGGGAGGACAGCGAGCAGCTGCTCGAATGGCTTGAAGGGCTTCCCGAGTTCAAACTGGATCTGGAGCGCGCTGATGTTGCGGATGTCGGACAGGAAGGGAGCGTAGTGGTAGGGGTAATACCTACGAGGCAGAACTGGCATTTACAAAATGGCAAAATGGATCAAAAATACCAATATTCACCCTTTTTTGTTTTCTTTTTTCTTTTTGGGTCACACCCGGTGATGCTCAGGGGTTACTCCTGGCTCTGCACTCAGGAGTTACTCCTGGCGGTGCTCAGGGGACCATATGGGATGCTGGGGATCGAACCTGGGTTGGCTGCGTGCAAGGCAAACGCCCTACCTGCTGTGCTATCGCTCGTCATGCCCCGCCCCCCCCGCCCCCATATTTACTTTTGATTAAGAGATTGTTAAGCAATAAGCATAATATCAGCTGTAAACTTTTTTCATTTAATTTTTTTTTTTACAAGGGTGAAAAAAATTATGCCCCTACTTTCACTACCTGAACGCTCTAAGGAGTTCAGCTCTCTGGAAAGCTGAGGCGGGGCTGGAAGGGACAGCAGGGAAGGCAGGTCCCCTGTGGGCCGTCGCCCAGGTTCCATCCCCAGGATTGTTTGGAGACTAGTTTGGCTAAAGATCCTCTTTTTTCAAGGCTCTTAGTGCCACACTCTTTTGCGTTCATTTGTTTTGCTGTGCAGTGACTTAAAACAAGGTCGGATGGAAATGCTTCGCAAACGAACTGACGCTGTTATATAAAAGTATCTGTTTTCCCCGAAATCATGTTTTCTGTTTGTTGTTAGCTATTTGGTGGATAATTATGAAATGCAAATAGAATTTGCTGGAATAGAAAACATGAGGGATACAGAAAATCTATACTATTTTCAGGAAAAGCAAGATTTCTTAACTGCATTCTTCTTGGTTTAATGTTCAAATAGCCCATTTTGCAAAAATTACCCCAACAGAAAAACTTTTTTTCTTTTTTGGTTTTTCTTTTTTTCGTTTTTTTTTTTTTTTTTTTAAACTCCGGCAGTGCTCAGGGCTTACTCCTGGCTCTGGACTCAGGGATCACTCTTGGCAGTGCTCAGGGTAGGTGACAAAGATCGAATCTAGGTGGGTCTACTACGAGACAAGCAGCCCAACCCTGTATTTTTGCTCTAGCCCAGAAAAACTTTCTCAAACACAAAAATGTACAGAGGAAAATAATGAACACCTCACTACCATACACGATCACTCAGGCCCTATAATCAAGACTTTGTCACATCAAGATAAGGCCTTACAATTCTTTTTTGTTTGTTTGTTTGTTTTTGCTTTTTGGGTCACACCGGTGATGCACTGGGGGATACTCCTGGCTCTGCACTCAGGAATTATTCCTGGCAGTGCGCAGGGGACCATATGGGATGCTGGGAATTGAACCCGGGTTGGTCTTGTGCAAGGCAAACACCCTAGCCGCTGTGTTATCACTCCGGCCCGATCTTACATTCTTAAATGAATAAAGACCAAAACAAAGAAAGGATTTTTGTCTTAGGTCACTGAACTATTTTCATGTCAGTTTATTATATTTAGATTAAACTAGGATTTTAGTTAAACTGAGCTATAAGTATCCCTTGTTAAAGACACAATAACCAGAATGTAAAGGCGAGACCCCACCTCCCCCCATGAACGGCTCCCGTGATGAGCACGGACACTCCCGTTAGCTCACCAGCTCCAGGACTGCACCCCGTGGTAGTAGTAATGCAGGACCCACTGGATGGCCTGCACGTAGCATGCGGCCTGGGCCGCCAGGAAGTCACTGGAAGGGGAAAAGATCATTTTTATTAGAACAGCGTTTTCAGGAGATGGGCCACTGTCTTGGGGGCACGGTGTTCGCTGACATCACATTTCAACTCATATACGCTATCCGATGAGCATGTGAAGAATTACAAATAAGAAAAACTGTCTCGGCACTGGATTCAGTATGAATCCACACGGGCTCAGGGTTCCTCTCGGCAGTGACACCAAGACTGAGCCCAGCTCACTGCATGCAAGAGAAGTTTCTCCAACTTTGCAATTTTTAATAAAGAAATATAACACTTGTTAGTTACACAAGCTTCTCCAAAAACCTTGAGAGCTGAAACAGCTACAAAATGTATGAAACAAAATCTTTCTTGCTTGCAATCTTAACTATTGTAACAATGCTGTTTTCTGAAGAATGAACCTTGCCGCTTTAAAGTCAAAGCATTGATTAAAAACATACTCAGACACCACATCCACCCCCATCTTGGCCATGTAGTATGTTCTCTTGTACTGCCTGAACTCTGTTTCAAATAGGTCGTCATCCTCAGGCTCATCTTCAAGATTATCTGGGGGAAAAGACCAGAAAAATAGTGGCTGACAATTATAAATACTCTTCTTTCCTCCCAAGACCGTATGACAAATATATACCAAAGTAACTGTTTACAAACCCTCAGACACCCGTTACCGCCAGTATTACCCAGTTAAAATGAATGAAGGAAACAATACAACAATGACCATCACGGAAACAGCACGCAACCCAAAGGCTGAACTCACCCTTCAATGCTGCCATTTCTTCATTTCTGTCTAAAGCAGCCCAACACAAGTTTTCCTGGTCCTACAAAAATTATAAATCAATAAAAAAAAGTCAAAGGCAAAATGTGTTTCAAGATGAGTCATCTCACAGGGGACACTATAAAAACTTGTTCTAAAAATAATCCCGTAAGACTGTAAGGATAACTTTGGTTTTATATGATTCATTCTGAAAGGCTATAACATCTTTACCACGTACAACGTAACACCCAGTTTTTCAAGTAACTCTCAGAATGTAAAAAAATTACATTAAATAGATGTAATCAATTATATATTTATTCCAGGTAAAAAAATGCCCCCCAAATTTCACCTACACAAAGGTGCAAAATCATGTCAAATCCTTGTGTCATTTATTTAAGTTTGATGCTGTTATGACAGCTTCTGAGCTGTTGGCAACCTACCACTGCATGCAACGACTGGAAACCACTGCCTCGATCTCACTCCGACACTGACCCCCACTTCCAGTTCTTCTCGCAGGCTTCTGTCTGCCCCCCGCCCCCAGGCCCTTCCTCCCGGTCACCTTACTTCTCTCCTCCCTGCTGGCCTAGCCAGGGATCCTCCCCACAGCCTCTCCCTTCCTGCCCATGGACCTTCCCACCAGCAGCTCTCATTGTCTGCACTCATCCTGACTCTAACGTGAACCACACAGGTCTAGAAGACTCAAGAAGCCGAAGAAATGGAATTGGACAGAACCAGGATCACTATGAAACTCTGGGAGCTCAGTTCCCCCAGAGTGGCAGAGTCTGTCTTCTTAGAGGAAAACCCAGGCAAGCACTAGGCGCCACAAAGTTCTGGGGTAGAACAGCCAAGCAGCCGGTGGCACGCGGGAGCATGACCCTTCCCGCAGAAAAAGCTGGCAGGTACAGACCTAAATACAACCTAAATTAACCCACACTCGGGCGACAGGAACATGCTGGAAACTCATCAATTTCATTAGAACCCAGTGAAAAATTACAGACAGGATGAGGTGATTTCAGAAGAGGTCCTTCATGCCAACACTAGTAAGACATCCTTTAGGACACAGTGGAATTTTTCACTCGGTACCAGCATACGCTGATGCTACGTTCATTTATTTACTGTTCATTTATTGAGCACAGATGCACTTACTAGCTAGCACGCTTCCAATTATGCTTAGCTTAACCTACTGCTAATATTTCATATATGATTTTAAATAAATTATTTCTAAAGAAGTCACCGGTCTATTTCGTAACACTAAATCATGTAAGCAGCTACATTTTAATTTTATTTTAATATATTTTTTTTGGGGGGGGAGCTTTGGCCACACCTGTTCAGGATCACTCCTGGAGGCTTGGCGGACCAAATAGGATGCCAAACACCAAAGCCTAGGTGGTGACACATGCAAGGCAGGAGTCCTGCCCACTGTGCTATCGCACAGGCCCCTTAAAAATCAACATTTCAAAAACTGATTTTCTAGGTTCTTATCCGTAGAAATGTTTTCTACACTTGGGAAAGAAATAAGGAGACACAATGTTGTTCTTCAAGAGGAAAAACAAGAAACACATTTTAAAGGTCAGATTTTAAAATGACAGCACCTAAGAGAAAAAGAAACCAGGAGAAAAAGAAACCAAAACCGGCTTTTGAAAGGGAAGAAATGAAACTGAAACGAGGCAACCTGCCAATCATGGGAAGAAAAATAATTTAGAAATATCCGTTCACCATTACAGCTCAAACAATGAAAGGACACTGGAAAATTGGACACCTTTGATTTTTTCTTTTCCTTGTAGTTCAAGGCTTCCTCGGCGGCAGCACCCGCGGCTTCATTGAGGTACTTGTTACCAACTTTGCTCTCAAACCACTTGAGGTCCACAAACACTTCGCTGAAGTGCTCCCGGTCAAACTGCAGAGAGAGTTCGCTCGCGTGAGACCCTCAGCCTGTGCCTGCCAGTGAGCTAGCCCAGCCTCTCCCAGGGACCAGCTGGGAGAAGTGGGGAAGCCGAGCACAGTACCTTCCTGCACCTGGGGAGAGCTCACTGGCTACTCTGGAAACTTAAGCCGAAACAAAGGTAACCGAGGTGCATTATTCCTCAGCCCCTCGAAAAGGCAGGATGAGAATTATAAAGCTTCTCCCCCTGGTTTTACGAAATCGGTCAAATACTCATTTACATCTCCCTGGGACAAGAACATATCACCTTGTATTACTTACATCTGATAATTTCACAAGGTACTTCTCAAAACGAGGTAAGTTGAGGTGCCCGCTTTCATTAATGTAGCCTGGAAGGACAAGTCCAACGGTTACACTGGAAGCTGACGTTCGTTTTTTTCCGACAAGTTTACCAGATTCTTTTCACAGAGAGTGGAGTGTTGGCAGTACACTAATGAAGACAGCAAACACCAGCCTGGACCCAGAGTCTGCTCTAGGGTCTGTGATCTGGCTATCATTAAAATACACAGTACAGGAAGAACCACAGCGAAACATAACAAGGTCCAGATTCACAGAACAACCCCCGCCCTCACATTGGCTAAGAACCATTCAACAAGCCGCTGAGCTTGGAGGGCTGGTGGGGAGGATGAGGCGGGAGGCGTGTTGGCCTGATGCTTTGCTCAGCAGCCTATGTGCCATTCACCTCGGACTGAAAACCCCTTCCCTCCTTAGGAAACCTTCCACGGCTTACCCATGCAGAACACTGAACTCCTAGGCTTAAAAATGAACTGAGCAAAACATCAGAAATAGAGTTCTTCTTCTTCTTTTCTTTTCCTTTTGTTTTTGGCCATCCCTGGCAATGCTCTTACTCCTGGCTCTTCACTCACGGGTCACTACTAGCATGGTTGGGGATGTCAGGAATTGAACCCGGGTCGGCCACGTGCAGGGCAAATGCCCACCTGTTGTACTATGGCTCCAGCCCCAGAAACAGAGTCCTTAGAACAAAAGAAGGCCCATTTCCCCCTTACGTTATCTCCACATGTGATAATCTAATAAGCTGAATGGCATTTTGTCCAGGCTAACTGAGAGCCAGTGTGAGCAGCCCCTAGTGGCGCTAAAGCGTTTCTTACCCCCGAGTTCTGGCAGGACGCTGATATATGTTCCGTAAAGCAGAGGCAGTGCATCGTGGTTAATATGTAAATGAGGTAGATGGGGGATAAAATCATTGCCAACAAGAAAACCCATCAAAATCCAATCATCTATTATCCTTTCGATGTCATACTTAAATGTGATCTTGTCCTACGGCCAATAAGAAAATCCGTCAGCCTCTTGAGCATTCTGTGTGGCCCTCTCTGGCTCGCGATTTCCTAGTACTTACTTTCAATGATGAAAACTCATAGTCAATATATTCTCTCATTAAAGACAAGTGTAGGAGGTGAAATGTGGTTTCTTCTGGTGCACATACTCTGTAACAGGATAATTCAGAGGGTCAACGATATTTTCAAAATTCAAATTTAAAAACAGCAAAGATTAAAACCAAACCGATTATTATAACAGTTAATTTATGGAATAAAAATATATGATTTACATAAAATCTGCAGGGAAGCATAAAGCAATAAAACTGCAATTATAATAGATAAAACAAAGTTAATGAACATCCCATCTTAAAGAATCTGACTACTTAACATTAAGATGTAATGATAAGGAGCTATCGGACTTAAGTACTCAAAGGAATCTTCAGATTCAAGGACAGACCCATTAAATCCTAAAGATTTTTTCAAACACAGGAAAAGTCATGCTAAAAATTATTAGTCTCCACAAACTCCAAATGGCCAAGTTAATCTTGAACAACAAGAAAGTCATAGGTCTCACCCTTCCTAATAACCCAAAAGGTGGGGTCTTGACAAAAAGAAAGAATACCAAAAACCAAAACAATACCAACAACAAAAAGAAACACTTTCAAACAAATGGAAGAGACTACAGAACACAGAAATAAAACTGCCCGTACACTGTCATGTGGTTTTCAGCCAGAGTGCCAACACAAGAAGCTAAGAATACTGCACGTCTGCGTGCAAAAGAATAAAGCTGGAACCTTGTATCACGTACAAAAATGGACTTCGCATGCTCAAAGCCTAAGTAAAAGCTAAAACTCCAAAACTCTTAGAAAGTGAAAAAAAAAAAAAGCCAAAGACTTACAACAGTGGATTTCGCATCAACTTCTTCTTTTTTATTTTTTAATTTATTTATTTGCTTTTTGGGTCATACTCGGTGATGCACAGGGCTGACTCTTGGCTCTGCACTCAGGAAGTACCCCTGGTGGTGTTCAGGGGACCCTATGGGATGCTGGGAATCGAACCCAGGTTGGCCATGTGCAAGGCAAATGCCCTACCTGCTGTGCTATTGCTCCAGCCCTCGCATTGACTTCTTAAACAGCATATTAAAAATATAGACAACGAAGGGGAAAAAGAGTGGGTTTCATCAAATTTTAAACTTTTGTGTACCAGACACTAGGATGAAAGTAAATTTCAGATGAGAGAGTTATTGAGGTAGCACTCTTTCTTTCCTGGTTTTGGTGCCAGAGCAGGCAGTACCCAGGGCTTAGTCCTGGCTCTATACTTAGGGATCAGTCCTGGGAGGCTTGGGGGGACCCAGCACGTGTGGGAATTAGTACTGGGTTCTGCCACATGCAGAGCAAGGGCTTTACTCCAGTACATCTCTCCAGAACCCCTTCCCCCCATTAACATTCTTTTTGTTTTGGGGCTGAACCTGGTGGTGCTCAGGGCTTACTTCTGGCAGGGCTAGGACCACATCTGTGGTGCCAGGAATCTAACCCAAACTGGCTGCATGCAAGGCAAGTGCTCTGTACTTCTGTACTATCACCCCAGCCGCTAACATGCTTAATTTCTATCCTTCCTGCCAACATATGGTTGATTTACCTTTGTGTCTTTTTGCCGCCAAACCGAACCTCTTCTCTTAAAAGAGAGAAATGTGCTTCATGGCTTGTTAATCCAAGCATAATCTGTTGGGAAAATGATTACAAAAAGTTTCTCTTCTCTCATTCATAAAGGTAAAGGCCCTCCCGTTGATCGTCGATTTGCTCGAGCGGGCCCAGTAACGTCTCCATTGGAGACTTTGTTGTTACTGTGTCTGGCATATCGAATACTCTCGGTAGCTTGCCGGGCTCTCCGAGAGGGGCGGAGGAATCGAACTCGGGTCGGCCATGTTGGCCGCTTGTAAGGCAAACACCCTACCGCTGTGCTATCGCTCCAGCCCTTCTCTCATTCATACAGTATCAAATTCAAAGAACTCACATTTCATACAGAAACCATGATGCTTATTCAAGGACAATAAACAATAGCTCCTTAGACACAAACATTCATTAAAAAGTAATTCCTGATTGGATTATGAGGAGGGAAAAGGGGGTGTTCCTGTTTGGTGGCTTTGGTGTCTGGACACAGCTTGCAGTGCTCATTTCCAACTACTTTAGGACTACCAACTACCTTGGGAAAAGCAACAGTAATCACACTTATTTCCCCAGCCAGAAAAACGTCTGACTCAGAATAAATGGCCTCGGTACTTTCCTGTGAGGTATGGAACAGCAAACACGGGACTTACCAAGTCAGCGTCTAAACCATACAGGCAGTGCCTGGTGTTGGGATCATGATCTGGCTTTGCTTTCTGGGATCTGATAAATTCCATGATTTTATGCTCGCCTTCTCCAGGAGTCTTAACAGAATGTTGGAAAATACATAGGTTAGATGTTTTGCCTCAGAATCTCACGTTCTTAAAATAGGTCTTAGAGGGGAGAAAAAAAAATAATGACCTCATGGCCCGAGAAGTAGATGGTAACTCCTTGCCATGACTTGTCTGTAGAAATTTTTAGATTTACAAAATACTTCAGATGCTCGTGCAACCTGGCCATGAATTCAGTCCCTATAAACAAAAAGTTTTACAAGTTTAACCTGAAAAATACACAAGAACAATGAGTCCCAAGTGACAACATAAAACTGGATCTGGGTTTCTGAGGAGTGGCGGTGTCACGAATTCCAGAGAAGGACACACTCTCAGACACGCTGAAGAGCACAGGGTGCCCCTTTCCCAGACAGGCTTCACCACTGCATCTCACTCTTATCACTTGAGAAGAAGATCACCGCCATGGGGCCAAGCCCAGGAGGAGGAAGAGCAACAGAAGGACACAATACAGATGCCGCCACCCAGGGGACTTTCAGCCCAGCAACAAGTATTAGTACCGCCACCCAGAAAGGCATGAAGGTGGAAACAGGAGGAAGCATCATGATGAGCATTTAGGAAAAGACAACAAGGTCCACTGAGGCGCTCCAAGGCGGCGTGGGGCTGGAGCGGGCCGGCCCCACCCGCGCACGGCCCAGGAGCGCTCCCAGTGGTATTTGGGGGCCCAGAGCCTCAAATCATATCCCTAGGCTCCGGCAATTCAGCCAAAGCAGAGACAGCATAAGACTGGTTGCTATCCTAAAAGATACGTGGCTTTACTTAATAACAGAGAAAACTTCCATCATTACTAAACAATTATTAAGACTTCACAGTTTTCGTTAAAGTAGCAGAGTGTAATGTTGGACAAAACTTGGAAAGTATGAAGTGGGTTGCTGCATAAAAAAATAAGCGTATTATACTGGTGAGTCCTCTGAAAGTCACAGAAACCCTGACTCTTGAGAAGGGGAACACGAGCAGGACGTATTTCTTGGCCCGAAGTGAGTCACAGCCTCATGGAAAAGCACCAGGGCTTCCGCACAGCTCTGCGTGGGAGAAAGGTGCTTGGTGGGGTGAGCTGGGTGCAGGTCTCAGGGACACTGGGGAGCCCCCCTCAGTCTCCCAGGGTGCCCAGGGCTAAGAACTACACCACCAAGGAGACGGCTGGAAACCGGCAGACACAATCAACCCCAAGGAGGAAAGTAACTGAGACTAAAAAAAAAAATCATTTAAGGGTAAAAAAAAATATATTTAAAACCTCTCAGCAGTTTTCTCCGGATGAACCTACCTGGTGTGATGCAGTTGGAGTCAAACCTGGCCTCGGCAGGAAGGGTCTCTCCTTTCTCCACTGCCTTCTTGATTTTGTCTTCGGCCTCCTTTGCCGACCTTCAAAGTGAAGGAGAAACGTCACTCAGGCTTTCTGGGGAAAGGCATGGAACCTTTTTACAGGAAGCCAGGCGTGAGTTAGAGGACTTGATGGCTAAAATCTTAGTTCATTAATTTTAAGATTCAAAACCAAAAGGTAACTCGATAAAAATAAGCCGCAGATGAGTTTTTCAGCTAGGTTTTATGGAAGTAAAATAACGTTAACAGTCTAAAACGGACACAGAACACTACAAATGCTGATCACAAAGTAACACCTAAGAAGAGTCTCACCTAACCTTCATGCCAAGGCCTCCAGAGGCCGGACTGCCCAGGCACCAGGGCAGTTCTGCTCTCCTGGGCCCCGGCCCCTGTAATTCTGTGCTTCTGAGATATTTCATCTCAATGATCATTGCTCTGATAGAATCATTAACTACAGCCCCTGAAATCCCTGGTTTTTCTATTTTGGTTTGTACAACCATTTTAATAAACTCTCTGTATTACATTTCTTCTGTTTAAAACAGCTGCTAGATTTTTTCTTGTAAGGAACACGAGGGATGCACTAGGTTTTAAAAAATCCCTTTTCAACATTAATAGCTCAAAAGAACATGGAGAATCTGATTAAGTTTGCAGGGCCTGGAGAGGTAGTGCAAAGGGCAGGGGGTCTGAGCTCAACCCTGGCACTGCAGAGCTCTCTCAAGCACCGTCAGGAGTGACCCCCCCCCCCCCCCAGCCCAGAACTAGGAGCACTTCCTCCCCCCCAAGTACCTACAGACGTAGCCCCGAACCCCAAAAACTGAAAAAAAGAATTTCCAGGGCCCAATTCCTAGACATTGAGACTAAGTCTGGGTGATGATTAGGGATCTGAATTCCTGTACGAGATGAGATGGCTTTCTCTGCAAGGACTTCACAGACCCCCAGTATTGACAGAATCGCTCCTTTGAGGATGAGTATGTTTTGATTTGGGGTCACACCGCCTGGTGCTCAGGGATACTCCTCTGGCTTTCTTGGGGGTCGCTACGGGCAATGCGTGAGAGATCATGCCGTGCCAGGAGTTGAGCCAGAGACCCTGTGCTTCCCCTGCTGAACGCTCCTGCTCCTCTCTGAGACACAAATCAGTCCCCGTGGCAGGAGCACCATGCTGAGGGCCCTCGCCCACCTGGCCTGTTCCCACACAGCACTCATGGCCCTGCTCTCTCCTCCACTGGCTCCCGATGGGAGCGACCTAACCACTCCAGTTCAGGGGCTCTTCCCTTCAATTCCAACACCCCTTGGGGTGATTTCTGCTCTTCCCAAGCATGGCCTTACTGGACCTATTATAATGTGAAATATTCCACAAGTTCAGGACTTCGACTTTGCTTTGGACTTGGGGCCACACTCAGCAGTGCTCAGGGCTTACTCTAGGCTCAGGGCTCAGGAATCACCCCTAGTGGTACTTGGAGGACCATTAGAGGGAGCTGGGGATTGAACTCAGGTCAGCCTCATGCAAGGCAAGCACTCTACTGGCTGAATGATTGCTGAATGATCTCTGAACGATCTCGGACCCATCTCTCTGAAGGATCCTGCTAGCCCAGGGCTTTGACTTTCTATTCCTGTTTTTTTTTTTGTTTGTTTGTTTTGGTTTTGGTTTGGAGCCACTCCAGGGGTGCTCAGGGCTTACTCCTGGCTCTGTGCTCAGGAATCCCTCCTGACAGGGTGTATGTGTTGGTAGGGATCAGACCTAGGTCAGCTGCATGCAAGGCAAGCACCTTCTGCCTGTATGATCTTTCTGGTAGAACCACTTTACAGTCCTGTGTTCCACCTCTTCTCATTCTTTCCCTTCTCCTGCTTCTAGCATGTCACACGTGGTTCTGTCCAGCACCCCTGTCTTCCCTGGTGGAACTTTCTTCCCAGCCCAAGTCCACACTCTGTCAGGGCCAGCACCTAGCCCAGGGTCTGGGAGTCAATGAGTGTTTGCTGAATTAACCGAAATCCAAGCAGGTTTTCAGCAGAACACTCTAGTTCGCTCTGAGCTCTCCAGCTCAGGGCAACTTCGGCAGAGTTTTCTCCACTCCAGACATTTCCACATCACCAACCAGAAGCTAGAAAAATCCGTGGCCTCCAGGAGAGTGATTTCCTACAGCCTCTGAGAAGTGACACCCCCCTGGTTACTTCACTTACGGACCTGATAAAATACGGCATTCTTAGTAGGAGACACTGACACTTCTGGAGGGATTTAAGCAGATACGAGAGAGGAGGAACACAGGGTACAGTTGATTAACTTTCAGACAATCGCTGATCTCGAAGTGCTCTCCGAGGAACAGCCGTGCTTTACCTAAAACGCCTCCCACGCTGCTGGTTCATTTTTGCTCGCGGAGCGACACCGTCAACAGCCATAAAGAATACTTTCCTGGGCTTGATGATGCGGAACAGCACCTCCAGGTAGTGGAAAATGTCCGCGAAGATTTTATCATCGGAAATCCTGAAGTGGACATCGTCGTCGTTGGGATGGGAGCACTGGTGGATGATGCCGTTCATATCCAAGTACAGATTGTCGAACTCAGGAATCTGGAGAAAGAGAGAGAGAGAGAGAGAGAGAGAGAGAGAGAGAGAGAGAGAGAGAGAGAGAGGAAGAAGCAGCCCCGTCAGTGGCCCCAGTCATGCCAGGCCAGGAGGGAACCCAGGAGGGAACCCAGGCGTCCCCGGACAGACACCAGACACACTGGTGACCCAAGAGGAGGGAGTGGTCAGACACAGACGGACCCCACGCTCAGAGGGTGCACCTGCCCGGAAACCATGACTCACTGACCCACAGAGTCCAGGAGAACACGGAAGCCAGAGTTGGGGGTGCTACTCAGATCCTAGTGTCCTGGGCCAGGGGTGTGGTTCAAGTGGTCACAGAGGCGCTAAGTTCAGTCCCTGGCACAGCAGGTCCCCAAGTACCCACCTGCCTGGCCCAGCACCCCCTTCCCCCGCACCTCTGAGCATGGCTTTTACAACAGCAGCCACAAAAAGAGAAAAAGAGTTTCCTTTTTTTCCTGTTATTTGACACTGACTTCTCAAAAATTTCATTTTTCCTACAAAAAGGCAATAATTTCCTTGTCAGCGGGTCTTATATTGAGATAGAATGCCCTACTTCTTACTTAGTCATTGAGGTTTATAAATTACTTCTGGTCTTACCGTATATCTGTTTTTTAAGGAAACGGAGTTTCTTTAGAATATTCAAACTATGTCAAGAAATTTACAGAGTTCTGAAAACTTGCTTCTTGCTTTTGGCATGTGGATCCAAGAATGTCTAACCCTTGGCTAGCAGGCGCACTGCTTATGGAGAGACTCTCACGGCCCTGCCTCACAGATCTTTCTTTTCTACTAACATGTCTGTGACCAAGGAAGGGGAACAACGCTGCAACACAGGCACACAAGGGGGAGCTGAAGCAGCAGTTCAGTGATAAGCCAACATAGCTATTGGTAATGCCACACCTTCTATTTGCTTTCTCTTGGTATAGTTTTGTTGTGCCTTACATGCCAAAGAAATTCCCAAAGAAAAACATAATGGACTTTCTGTGCATTCAAGATGATGTTTTATTAAAAGTTATCTGAAAAATTCTCAACATTTCAATGGAATTTGGGAGGGGGCAAGGGAAGAGGCACTTTATAAAGTGATTCCAGTTCCGGCGTCTCCTCTAAACATGCAAGTTTAGAAACAATACAGCCAGGGTTTGTAGCCTGAGGGGCTCGAGCCAGAGGCGTGTGGAAGCTCACCAATGCTTGGCCCTAGTGGCCCCTGACGTCACTGGCCCTGGACACTGGGGCCAGGAAGTCTCACCCAGAGAGGCCCAGGACCCTGAGCCGGGAAGCCCCTCAGTACCGAAAGCTCACTACCAGGATCAAAAGCTTTTGAAAACATGAGTTTTAGTGAACCAAGTTTGAAATCCATCGTAATGTGCTCAGGGGGCACGGCCGGCAATGCTAGGATTATTCCTGGCTCTGCACTCGGATCACAGTGCTCTGAGCCAGAGGGCAATATGAGATGGGGGCTGAACCAGGATCAGGCTTGTGCAAGGTAAGCACCCTACCTCTGCACTATGGCTCCAGCCCCAGTGAGGAAATTATTTCTTGATCGCCAGTAACAAAATTCCTGAAAATGGTGAAACTCCAAGATACGTCCACCAAATAATAAAAAAAAAATCTGCACAAAACAGCAGTCAATCCCTGATTGACCAGAATACATATTATCAAGTTAGTCTGAATAACAATCACACTTTTCCACTTTCGAGCTAAGTGACTCACATCCAGAAGGAACCAGAGACCTTTGCCAAATTCTCTTCTTGGTTTCTCCCTGAACCCAAGTCGACCCACCAGGCAAAGACAACAAACAGAAATGCACATTCTACGTCATAGCGCGCCGTGTCATTTCCGCACAGATGGACAATGCTGACCAATGGTGATGGGTGGCCACAGTGAGTTGCGAGCCCCCTTCCCTCCACACGTGTGGGACCTGCACAAACGGGCTGTGCCCATTTTCAGGCCGGGTAAGGTGCAAAGCCAGTCTCTCTTTCTTCCCACCCCCTTCAGCCCTACCAAGCCTTGCCGGGCAACCCCGCCAATCCGACTGCGTGTGCATACGTGTGAGTTTGTGCGTGTGCATGCATGTCTGTGCGTCTGTTTGTGTGTCTGTGCATGTCTGTGTGTGTGTGCATGTCCGTGTGCGAGTGTGTATCCGGGTGTGCGTGTCCATGCATGAGCCCGTGTGCGTGTCTAAGTGTGAATGTGTGTGCGTGATTCTGTGTCTGTGTGCATACGTGTCTCTGTGTCTGTGTGCGTGCCTGCATGTATGCGTGGCCGTGTGTGCATGCGTGTGCGTGCGTGTGCGTGTTGGAGCGTGCCCCTGGGTCAGTGCGAGTGTATGTGCGCGTGTCCGCGAGCGTGTGCGTGCGTGCATGTTTGTCTGTGCGTGTCCCCGTGTCGTGTGAGTGTCCGTGCGTGTGCATGCGTGTCCGTGCGTGTGCATGTTGGAGCGTGCCCCTGTGTCGGTGAGAGTGTCTGTGTGTGCGCGCGTGTCCGCGAGCGTGTGCGTGCGTGCATGTTTGTTTGTGCGTGTCCCCGTGCCGTGTGCGTGCCCGTGCGTGTGTCTGGACCGGGACTGGCTTCTGGACCCGAGTCCGGGGAGCGCCGGCAGCAGGCGCCCCGCCGGCGCGGTCCCGGGGCCGCGGTGACACTGGGCCCGGCCGCCCGCCCCCGCCCCCGCCCCCGCCGCCGCGCGCGCCCACCTGATGCTCCTTCACCACTTCGCTGAGGCAGGGGTACCGCTCCGAGATCCACCGGTAAAACTTGGGGACGCCCATGGCAACCGTCAGCACCGCGGGCAGCCCGGGCCAAACCGAAACCAAACGCCCCGCCGGGGCCTGCGCTGCCGCCGCCGCCGCCCGTCGCGCCGCCGATGACAACACGGCGCCGGGCTCGGTGACAGCCACCGAGCCAGCCCGGCGGGCTAGAGCGGCCGCGCGCACGCGCACTGCCACCGCCGCCGCGCCCGCCGCCGCGCCCCGTCCCTGTCCCCGCCCCCGCCGCCCGGGACGCCCTCGCGTCGTTGGCGGGAACTTCGTGGAGTTGACCCGGCGCCAACACCCTTGTAGACGTGTCCCTTTCCCTGGGCCGACGCCTCCCAGGTCCCCGGGGGCACCGAGCTCCTTAATCGCCCCGGGCTTCGCGAGGCACGACGGCCGGGGATACAATGTTTCCATCCCGCCCTGATCTTGATACTGTTTCCCAAGCACTGCCAAGTGTTCCGGACAGAATTCCACCAAGCGAATGAGAAGGCTTTATAAAGTTTCCCAGTTGGCCATTAAATAAACCCACTGCTTTGTAACTATTTAATCATTTAAATCTACAGGAAAACATGCGAAGATTCCCATGCAACTGCGTTTTGGCGTGAAGCCAGGAAATCCTCAGCCCTCCCGAGCCGCTAGATTCTGTGTTCCCTCTTAGTGTCCAGAATACATTGGGGACACTAAGGGTGTCCAATGCACAGGATAGCAGCAGCCGTCGAGTTACGGAATGCTTTCATATTTCTCTTTCTTGGCTTAAGTTTTTCTCCTGCCAATTTAAAAACCATACAAAATGCTTTATTAAGTGAACTTGAGGTGCTCCTTCTACATTTTATTGGACTCTCAATGCTTTGAGGGCTACGGAAGTAGCTCAGAACAAATTTCGCACAGTATTTACGCAGAATTATTTTTGGTTGTTTAAAGAAATCCTCACGTTAACCAGTACTTAAAAGAAAAACTGTAAAATGAAATGTTGATTTTTTTCTTACAAAAACATCTTTTTAGAGCCTAAGACAGTCTGTTGGGTGTGCAGAGACAGTGCAGGGTCTAGGAGCTTGCCCTGAGCACTGCTGACCCAGGTTGGATACTGGGCCACTTCTGGGAATGCTCTCAACACACTGAGGCAGGAATAAGCCCTAACCTAAAACAACAATACCATCCGACATAATAAGTTCCGTTTCTCCAGTTATCACACACAATATATATTAAGGAAACAGTTTATTTTTAATGACATATATTAGTTTAAATATTAACAATCATTGCATAAATACCATTTGCTCTGAGAACATACTCATATTGTACTTGGGAACTGAATATGTAACAACCACACATTCCTTAAACCCACTTTCTTGGAAGTCCCTTCATTTCACATATACGGGGTCCACCCCAGGTACATCTGGCACAGCAGGTTTTCGTCAGTGGCTTCCTGAATCAGGTAGTGGACGTGTCCCTCAATGGACAGCGGCAGCCCTGTCACTCTGTTTCGGGTCTTGATGACACCCTGCAGTCTCTGTTCGATGTCAAGAACGTGGGTCTTGGCCTAAAAGAGAAACAATGAAAATGACAAGGGCTAGAGAGCCAGGTGGATTTTCGTGACCCGGATCTAGGACCTTTCTGTTATCTGACAACTGTTTTGATTGTTTTGGGAACACACTCACTGGTGTACAGGGTCACTCCTGGCAGGCTCAGGACTACACGGGGTGCAGGGGGCCGAACCAGGTCAGCCTCATGCCAAGTAAGTGTCCCACCACTACCTCTCTAGCCCCTTTTAACGATTGTTAATGCCATTTTATTCATCATTACTTTATAAAAGCAAATAATAAACAAGGAATGAAACAAATTGAGTAACCTGAGGTGTTAATTTTGAAGCTTGTAATATTGATACTATAACAATATCAACATCTTGAATCTTTTTCTATATTCTAAATTTTTCTGTGAAATAGCAGGGACTCTCTTCCACATTATAATTCTAGAAAGACAGGAATAAAGTTAATCTAAAAATCTTTAGAACTTTAAAGTTTTCAAAATATCCTAATATTTTGAATGTCATTAAATTTTAATTTTATATTAAATGATTTACCAGTCCACTCGGCCACGCTACCTACCGGGCTGGAGCGCTAGCACAGCAGTAGGGCGTTTGCCTTGCACGCAGCCAACATGGCCGATCCGAGTTCGATTCCTCCGCCCCTCTCAGAGAGGCCGGCAAGCTACCAAGAGTATCTCGCCCCCGCGACAGAGCCTGACAAGCTACCCTACCCGTGATGTATTCGATATGCCAAACACAGTAACAACAAAGTCTCCAATGGCGACATTACTGGGTCCGCTCGAGCAAATGGATGAACAACGGGAGGACAGTACAGTGACAGTGATTTCCTAGTCCAAATATTCAATATTTACATATTTTAATAACAGCAACACTATAAGGAATGCCTAAATGCAGATTATGCTTGTGTGAGCAAATGCCAATTTAAGTTAGTTTCTTGAAAGCCTACAAATTTCTCTCATTATTGAAAGCTTATCACATCTTAAACTACATTTTTTGCTTATTAAAATAACTGTAAATTCTGAGGCTTCAATATTAGTGAGTTAATTGCTACGAGTTAAAGCGGAGAATGAATCTTCTTTAGGCCATTTGGATTCAAGTTCTTTTCACATTTTTTTTTTCCAATTTGGATTTTTGAGTCACACACTGCAGTGCTAAGGGGCTAGACCATTTATTTAGGGGCACCTTGGTCTGCTTCTGGTGGGGCTCGGGAATCCATTGTGTGCCGAGTTCAAAGCCAGGCCTTCTGCATGCCACACAGTGTTGTTCCCTCCCTACAACCCCGCACCCTCCCCAGCTGTGAAGAGTCTTTGGCTCACCAAGTATGGGCGCTCCTTTAATCACATACATGATAACTGTTAACATTAGTAGTAAAGATACGGAAAGTTTCAGGCAGACTGAGATTTCAGAGCCTTCAAGGATTACTCACTCATCAGCAGTACTCAGTACTGATTACTCATCAGCAATACTCAGACTCACCGTCACTTCTAGAGACAGGCAGCATCAGCTCTTAAGCTCAACTTTCCACTCACCTTCTCATTGACAACTTCCCCAGTTTCATTGAGGGAGGCTCTGGAATGTCCTTTCACGGGTTTGCTCCACTCCACAAGAGGATCATGTAGGAAAGTCTTCAGGACGCTAAGAGGGAACCAGCATATGGTCACGGCACACGCGTATCTCTGTAAAAATCAGCCTCTAGCATTAACACTTGGGTGTAAGTGGAAGCGAAGGATTAGAGAGAGAGAGAGAGAGAGAGAGAGAGAGAAACACACGCCTCCACCTTTCAGTAAGTGTGTGCAGTCGGTAGTCTGGGGCCAGGGAACAAAGGGAAAGAATAGGAAGAGGCAAAGTGGAAGGGCCCGAGGTATTCTTGGGGAGTAAGACGAGCTCTGTAGCGCCTGGTGTTTACTGGGATCCGTGAGTGAGTCTCTAGTGCCTGGTGTCTACTGAGATCCAGTGAATCTATCGTGCCTGGTGCCTACTGCGATCTGGTGAGTGAGTCTGTATCGAGTGAGGGAAAAACGGGCCCTGCTGGGTCTCCCCGGCTGCAGGATCCCCGGCACACCCAGAGCAGAGTGAGTAAGGGCACCGGAAGGAGTCCAGCCGAAACGCCCCCAAACGTCCAGGAGTGAGGCCGCGCAGAGCCAGGAACAAGCCCCAACCACCTGTCAGGTTTGGCTCCAAACAAAACAAGCGATACATGGACGTGTGACAGCATGAAAAAAAGGCATGAAACATGTGAAGTGAACGGGGAGAAACATGAAAGGCGTGACTTGACTCATCTATGAAATGCCCCGGAGAGGCAGCTGCACAGACAAAGGGTTGCTGGGGGAAGGCGAGGCAGGGAACAAGGCGCAGGCTTATGCCTTTCCGGGGAGATGAAAAGGAACCGTGGTGACGGACAGCAGCAAGGGCCGTGCCACTGAAAAGGGTTTGGGTGTGTGTATATGCTGTGAATTGTACGAAGGGGATTGTTTTGTTTTGTTTTTTTGGCCACACCCAGTGATGCTCAGGGTTTACTCCTGACTCTGCACTCAGGAATTACTCCTGGCGGTTCTGGGGGGACCAGATGGGATGCTGGGGATCAAACCCAGGTTGACTGTGTGCAAAGCAAAGACACTGTCTGCTATACTGTCTCTCAGTCCTGCTGAGAATTCTTAAGATCAAAGATAAATAGTCTTACTAACCACAGTCGCCACGTGGCACTCTCCATCCCCATGACTGTAATTGTGACTGTCAATCTGTACCTGTGACTACCTTAACCCTCTTCATTCATCCCACTCTCTCCACCTCTGGTGGCCACCAAGCTATTCTCTGCATCTCTAAGCTCAGTTTGTGGTGGTTTTTGTTCATCAGGATTCTCTAGAGCACTGTAGCACCGTCCTCCTGTTGTTCATCGATTTGCTCGAGCGGGCACCAGTAACATCTCACAACAAATTGTGAGACTTGTTATTACTGTTTTTGGCATATTGAATACGTCACGGGGAGCTTGCCAGGCTTTGCCGTGCGGGCGAGATACTCTCGGTAGCTTGCCGGGCTCTCCGAGAGGGGCAGAGGAATTGAACCTGGGTCGGCCATGTCAGCCGTGTGCAAGGCAAACACCTTATCCGTTGTTCTATCGCTGCAGCCCAGGATTCTCTATGTAGGTAACAAATATCACACAACATCTATATCTGGCTTATTTCTTTTAAGACAATACCTTCATGGTTCACCCATGCTGTCTCAAATGGCAATACTCCCTTTTCAGAGCCGAGAAACAGTCTGTTGGGTAACACTAGGTTGTCCTTGCTGCTCCCACAGGGAGTTTAAGGTTTAATGAGCCACTCCCCAACAGTGCAACTGAGGCACACCCGATCCCATCAGGCACTGATAATTCCATATTGCTTCTCTTTTCCCTTTATGTCATTTGCATGGTTTATTTAGCGATGTTCTTTTTGTATAGACACAGGAACACAGCTGATGTTATGCTATGTAACATGGGACTTAACTGACTCCAAAATAATATTACTCCTGGGCATCTGTACTTAAGCCTCAGCTGCCCTTAGTTCCTAGCACTCCAAGAGCAGGGTCCTGACGAGGGA